GGGGGAGGATTTGACAAACCCATTCTGCACGGCTTGTGCTCTTTCGGTATCTCAGCAAAGCACATCTACACAACTTACGGCCCTTTCCGGAACATCAAGGCACGCTTCTCCAGCGTGACGCTACCCGGGCAGACCTTGAAGACGTCCATGTGGAAAGAAGGTCGTACTGTCATCTTCACAACTTCGATAGTCGAAACTGGACAAGTCGTACTGTCTGCGGCAGCGGTGGAGCTTCTGGGTGGAACAGCTCGTATGTGAGGTGTGATGTGTTTCAGAGGGAGATTTCGAAATATGGTTAGCTGTATGCGTCCAAGGTATATTGTCGCGTCAAATTCAGAATCATTCATCACGATCAGAGAGTGCTAGTGGTTATGCAAAAGCCGCTCGTGTTAGGGCTCATCAAACACCCGCGACTTTGTATGTACACCTAGAGCTTACTGGGTCTCCTGCCTGCAGACTCCTTCCTCGCTTCGTCCCGCAAGACATTCTTCAATATCTTGCCGTTCGCTGATCTCGGAATCAGATTCACGAATCGAACTCCTCCGTCTAGCCACTTATACCGGGCCAATTTCGGTTTAATGTAGTTCTTGACTGCCTCTTCGTCCAAATCTCTCTCCGTGCAGCCCTCCCTTCGCACCACATAGGCTCTAGGGGCTTCCAAGGGCTCTCCGCTGTCGACCAGGTGCTGGACACCGATTACGGCGCAGTCAACAATGTCGGGATGATCTAGCAAAATTCCTTCAATCTCAGGTGGCGCCACCTGAAAGCCTCGTACCTTGATCAATTCCTTCTTCCGGTCAACGATGTACCACAGCTTTGTCGTTGCATCGCAATAGCCGATATCGCCCGTGTGGTAGAAGCCGTCGGCGTCGAAACTTTGTGCATTCGCCGAGGGATTGTTATAGTAACCAGGTACTATGGTCGGTCCTCGGAGGCACATCTCGCCCCGGACATTGTAGACTTCGCCTAGATCGTTGCCATCGTCGTCGACGAGCTTCATCTCGAGATTGGGTATCAATCGACCAATGCTCCCAGTAGTATCCTTTTCTGGATATTCGAAACGGGTTGCTGAGCACGACGATTCCGTCATCCCCCACACCTGGGTGACCGGGCAGTCCTCGCGGAGGAGCTTTTGCAGCTGGGCCTGTGTCTCGGGACGCAACGGCGCCGCCCCGCACATACACCAACGCACGCTCTTCATGGAGTATTTCCTGCTGTGTGGCGATTTGATAATGTTCAGAGCCATGGTAGGGACTACCCCGAGGCATGTCACTTGATACCTCTCCACGTTGGCGAGAAACTGCTCAAGGTCGAAGCGCCGCATGATGTAGGTCTTCTCACCCTCTTTCAAAGTGCTAGTGTGCGCTCGAAATGCGATGGCGGCGTGGAACATGGGTAGGGGAAAGAGATGGATGTCTTCAAAGCTCGTGTTTGCGACATGACGTCCCCAGATCAAGTCATGCTGCGCCGTGACATTGTAGTGCGACACATCGACCGCCTTGGGCAGGCCAGTGGTTCCCGAGCTGAACAGTCGCATGGCTATGGTGGCCCTGGCCGTGTCCAAATCATCGAATCGGATCCAGTCTTTCTCTCCCTGCTCAAGTAAAGCCTTCCACGATTTCCAGCCGCGAGGAACCTGCTGGTTTGGTAGGGGATTGAAAATCCATATGCGGGAGTCGGCGATGTTGAGGCTCCGTGCTGCCTTGTGCAGAGGATCTAATATTTCGGGCTCGGAAATGAGCCATTTGGCCGCTGCCGTTGTCAGGGCGTGTTTCAGTTCGTGTTCTGTGTAAGCTGGGTTTGTTCCGGTGAAGACGCCCCCTACTGCGATGATACCCAGGACTATGAGAGGATAGTAGATGTCGTTGAACGCATGGACGCACACACAGTCGCCTGCTTTGACACCGGCGGCATCAAAGCCTGCTGCCAATTGCCGTACGATTGCGCGGGCCTCTCGACTGGAGATGGATCTTTCCGCGTTTGCCGCATCAATGTAAACCTTTGTTCGACTTGTTCAGTCTCAGAAAAAGTCTAAGCTGAGGGAGTACCTACTGGCTTGTCCGGATCATATTTTACATCGTCAAAAATCCAAGAAAGAACATCCTTGGTGGAGAGTGCGTATCGCTCTCTTGGAGCAAAAACCATCCTTTTGGCAGCTTTACGGCAGAGGTTCGAGCAGAGGCGTCGACTCCGGCGGACTGGGGGACAAATTGGCTTTGCCTACACATCCTATAGATCCGGTCACTTGACGTCCAAAATGCCGTGTTGTTATCAAGTGACACTTGACAGTCGGGTATTCTGGTCACCTGCATCCCCAGCGATCCTCGGCTACACGTGGGATGTATTTGTGAGGTTGAACAAGAACATAATAGAAGATATCTCTGCTCCCATGGCTGGTCCAGAACCCGAGTTGCCGAGGTCGAGTGGGGCGACCATCATGAGACGGGGGCATCTCTGATCATTGAACCATGTTGCCAACACTGATATTAAACCTCTGCCGGTTCGCTAATGTTTCCATAACAACGCCGGAGGGGACTGATGCCGGAGCAACTACGAGATGGCAACCACGAACGGCGTGACGTCTGAGCCCCCTACAAGCAATGTACCCAACCTCACGACCGACGTGCTCATTGTTGGGGCTGGTTTTGGAGGCATCTATGGGCTTTATCAGTTCCGCAAACTGGGTCTGTCGGTCAAGATCGTCGACGCTGGTTCCTACTTCGGTGGTACTTGGTATCACAATCGATATCCTGGCGCCCGTGTCGACTCGGAGGTTCCATACTATGCGCTGTCAATTCCTGAACTATGGAACACTTGGACATGGTCGGAACGGTTTCCAGGCCATGAGGAGCTACGTCGATATTTTGCGCACGCCGACAAAGTCCTCGAACTGAGCAAGGACACATTCTTCAACACCAGTGTCGTGGAAGCCCGCTTCAATGTCGATACTCAGCAATGGACGGTCAAGACGCACAACGGTGGCGTCGTGAAGGCCACTTATCTCGTCCTCGCTGCTGGCAGCTCTTACAAAACACACGTGCCGGACTTTAAAAACTTCTCTGTGTACAAAGGCCGTGTCTTCCATTCATCGGCATGGCCCAAAGAAGAGATCGACCTGAGTGGCAAGGCAGTCGGCGTGATTGGGAATGGCGCTACTGGAGTGCAAATTGTCCAAACGCTTGCTCGCCAGCCTTGCAAGCTCACAACTTTTATTCGGACACCAAATATTGCCTTGCCTATGCGGCAACGTAAATTGACCTTTGACGAACAAGACATTGCGAAGTCATTCTACGAAAGCTGGTACCAGACAGCCCGAAACACGGATTCTGGATTTCCGTTCAATACCATCAAGAATTCCATATGGGACGTCTCACCTGAGGAAAGGGAGCGCGTTTTCGAAGAGCTCTGGGGCCGCGGAGGCTTCAACTTCAGCGTGGGTAATTTTCGAGACTTCCTCACTGACAAGAAAGCCAACGCTCTCCTCTATGACTTCTGGGCTCGAAAGGTCCGTGCTCGTATCAAGGATCCTTTCAAGAGAGATGTGGTCGCTCCGCTGGAGCAAACCCAGTACTTCTGTACCAAGCGACCCTCACTGGAGCAGAACTACTATGAAGCACTGGATCAACCCAATGTCACAGTTGTCAATCTGAACAAGACGCCAATTGTTGAATTCGTGGAAAATGGTATCAGAACTACCGACAAAGTCCATGAATTTGACATTATTGTCATGGCTACCGGATTCAATGCGGTTACAGGAAGTCTAACAGAGATCGATCTCTACGATACAGACGGCAAAACTGTGAAGCAAAAGTGGCAGGACGGGGTCTACACGTACTTGGGACTCACTATCCCTAAGATGCCTAACCTCTTTATGGTATACAGTCCTCAAGCTCCCACAGCTTTTGTCAATGGACCGCCTGTCATTGAGATCCAGATCGAATGGATCGTGGATGCCGTCAAGAAGATGCGAGAAGAAAACATCAAGTCGATCACGCCCAATTTTGACGCAGCAGAAAAATGGCGGGACGAGATTCAGAAAATGAATGAAAAGACACTCCATATCTATTCCGACAGTTGGTACATGGGTTCCAATATTCCCGGAAAGAAACGAGAACAGCTCTTGTACATGGGAGGTCTCAAGACATACAACAACGTAATTCGGGATAGCCTCGATGGCTGGAAGGGCTTTACGGTCACCAAAGCTTGAGCGTTGGCCTTCCCTGTTCTATGAGAAGAGGATTGCTGCACAGATTGGCCACGAGAAAATGCTACAACTCAGCAGACGGTCGGCGCTAGAATTCACACCAAAGCGAGAGTCCGGGAACTAGACGAAAGTGAGAACGGTAGAAGCTAGACAGCTGGAATAGACCACGGAGACATGGAAAATGCAATGCGTTGTGTATATTCAATCCTCTGGCTCGAACCGTAAACTCCGAGTTTTTGTCCTCTAAACGTGATGAGATCAGGTCAGGCTTTTTGTCTTTGACTAAACATGATCAAAGTTGAAAGAAACTCGCAATGAACCTCGGCATCGTGTATGCAATCATGACACGATGGGAGCACGCCACTCCTTCCTCAGAGCCAAATGGTCCTGAATATGCGGGTTTGAACGAAAGCGTTTCATCCTTATCTTCGACGACTCCTCCAGAGGAGCAAGTCTTCGTGCCGTCCGTCACCTCTATAGCAACTCCTCGGACCTAGCAAAATTGTTGGAGTAGTGGCAGTCATGCCTCAATTAAGAGACTGGGTCTGCTTCTGCAGTGATGCTATTCTTAATGCTTTGATATCTATCCCATTTATAGATGCTATCTCTCGAGTAGACTGTCAAGCGAAATCTCAAAAGGTTTATGCTGCTGTTAGATTCTAAATGTCTTACCCGAAACAGATAGAGGCCAGCCTTGGTCGTGAGAGTCCCTCTGTAGTAAAAGACGTGCAACGGACAAAATATTCATGAATTAATTTGAAATCGTATGATGATAAAATTCCATCCCAAGCCCTAATCATACAATTTCGACCGCGATGGTTTCATCTGCAAAACTCGAACGTACCATCTGCGCTGCACGGGCTAGCAGCTGATATTCGAGCGTCTCAGGGGAGCGCTCGAGCCATTTGGGTAACCATGATATTACGTGCTCCTCTGTCCAGGAATGCACCCGGACGTCTACCGTTCTCGTGATGCTCTCGATGATTTTTGCGACGTAGTCGCCACCTTCAAAGCGTGACTGCATTTTTCTCAGCACCTCCATCATTGGGGCTAAGACTGGCATTGCTTCAAGTTGAAGCTCCCTATGTCTGCAACCGAGGCAGACGAGAAGGACGGCGACCGGCAGAGTGATCCAACAAGGACTACAGTGTGTCTGTCAGTAGGCATTTTCGGTAGACTGGAAAAAACAGACTTACAACCAGGCAGGCAGGTCCTCGACTCTGGCAACCGCCCACAAGCGCTGGACCGCATCACCGATGGCGAAGGAAGTTTCTTTCACTCTTTCTACTGATGCTTTGTGCAAGAGGAAGGCTGGAGACCGCTGCTGGATAGGACATCGCATATACGGCTCATAGAGTGACATCAACGTCGATCTGAAAAAGTCAGCATTTGTGCTTCTGGTTCTGCCGGCCTTTGTCACTCACAAATGAACAATTCGCAGCATCTGGAGCGTCAAAAGTTGGCACCTCGTCTGAGCCATAATGTTGTTTTTGGCAAGTAAACCTCGATGCGAGCTCTCCCAATCCCGGAGATCCTTGTCAACGCTGACGACGTAATTCAATTCATCTTTACAAATGGATAGCCAGGGGTTTTCTGCCCGCCAGTCTGAAAGTTTTCCGGAATTCTTTCGAAGAAGCAGAATGCGATACATCAGGTCTGACAATTTGCAGAGAGCGATGAAAGCTTCGATCTCGAAAATCTTCCCATCCATGCGCGCCGCTCGGGCCAGGAAAGCTATAGACCCGAAGTCTTCGGATTGTATCATGCGCCCCGGCTCAAAAGATGTGACCTTGTCTGGGCGACGAAGACCGAGAGCGAGAGCCCGAGTCCGTGCGACACAGCACCACCAGATGACGCGGCTGTATTCCTCGGGGCTCTCGGAGAGATTTGCAATTGTGGCATGATGGAAAGCCTGGTCAACCCAGTAGGTGCTTACTTCTTTGGATTCATCAAAGGGACTCCAATGACTCAGGAGCAGTGCAATCTGAACCAGACTTACATCTCCAGGCCGACTTTGAGAACTTTTGTCAAACATGTATTTGGTGGAGCGGAAGCAGGCTCTCTGCGCTTCAGGTATCGATGTGAAAGAACTCCGTCCGAGCTCCTCGTCACTTACATGAGCAAAAGCCACAAAATTTATGGCACCAAGGAGTTCTCTCCCTCGATTGCTGTCAAGTCGGTCGGAGCCATACCAACTCGAAAATTCGATCTCATCTATAACTGGACATAGCGGGTGGAAGTTGTGGAAGTAGATTTCCACCAGTCGATCTTGCAAGGCTGGGCTGAGGTCTGGAAAATCTGGCTGATTTTGTCAGTGGGGGTTTTGACCTGCGGAATCATGCCAAACAACACAACTCACTCCATTTGTAAGTTCCTGTTGGCCGTCATGGGCCTTTTCAGGAGTTACAAGCGACTCCAAAGACTGTGGCAAGACCCCCAACCCGGCTTGTCATGGTCAGTTGACTGGCCACGACGAGTTTCCATGGTGAACTCACTTGATTTGAGAAGTGTGTTCTCTAACTCTAGTATGTGGTTCACGGTTGCGTCCTGGCTCAAGTCGCCATGCCGTTGGACAACGGGAAACTGCCCATCAAGGTCAACCTTGAGGTCGCTGGTGCCATCGATAAATGACAGAACACTGTGCTCAGTAGTCACAGAAGTTGGATCGAGTTCAAACATGTCCTCGGTGTCGAGAAAGTCCCAGATATCTTCCTCGACCATAGGTTTGGCTGATTCAGCCATTCTCTACTTGTCCCCTCGTCTGGTTTGGGAGTTCTCCACTATGTATTCCGAAAATGTATTGGATAATAACCCAAACTTGGGCAATTTCCAATTGACCGAAGCTCTTGGGAGCCGCGACACTCAAACAGGACTGTCTTCCAAAGTGGAGGATTCTATTACAAGGCCAACAGTGGCAGAATGCTAGGGAGTTGATTGAATGCTGGAAGTTGGATGGGCTGCTAAGCTTGCAGGTTCCTCCATGGAACAAGCCCGGAACCGGCTCCGCTGGATCTTTGCTACCGAGGCTATCAACTTCAGTGGCATGTCCTTCAGTTGGTTTGCCGAAGGAGCACTAAACCATACACGCCAAATGCGGCTTGAGGCTATCCGAAACGTTGTCCCTTGAAATTGTCATGGATTAGCCTTTTGATCCAAAAATTCTGAGGTCGATTGTTGTAGAAATCAAAATCGCTTCCCAGCAGACTCGTCGGCGCAGTTCATCACTGGAGAAGTGAAGGCATTCCTACGCACGCGGCAACCGATCAGATGGCGGGACCGGTCCGGCTGCCCATCAACCTCGATGCACTGCAAGACTATCTGCAGACATGCGTGCCAGATATCAAGACTCCCTTGAGTATCAAACAAGTGAGTTGCTTTTTGCACCTCTAGCCATCACTCACATTAACGATATGCTCTGAAAGTTTGGGGACGGACAATCGAATCCAACATACCAACTAACCGGCGCCGATGGAAATCGATACGTTCTGAGAAAAAAGCCTCCGGGAGCACTGTTATCGCAAACAGCACACAATATCGAGCGTGAATACCGAGTCCTTCGAGCTCTAGAGAAAACCGACGTCCCCGTCCCCAAGGTGTATTGCCTCTGCACTGATCCCGCCATCATCGGAACGATTTTCTACGTCATGGAGTTTTTGGACGGCAGGATCTTTACCCAGCAGTCCCTGCCAGGAGTCAGTCCATCGGAGAGGACAAGCATGTAGGATCTCCAGAAGTGGTACATTCGGGACTCCCCGACTAACTTCATCAGGTGGCGGTCAGCCATGGAAACGCTTGCCAGGATCCATGGCGTCGATTATAAAGGGTTGGGCCTGGGAAGCCTTGAAAAGCCCGACAAGTTTTATGTCCGCCAGATCCGAACGTTCACATCACTCTCGATACAACAAGCACAGGCAACGGACAAAGAAACTGGTGTCCCCGTCGCCAAGGTCCCTCACTTGAACGAAATGACCGAGGCATTTCAGGATGTGCGATATCAACCAGAAGATCGCAAAACCCTCATTCACGGTGACTATATGATGCATAATCTGATATTCCACAAAACGGAGCCACGCGTCATTGGTGTCTTGGACTGGGAAATGACTACAGTTGGCCATCCACTGGCGGACTTGGTGAATGTGACGGCTCCGTTTGTGTCCGCCACTGCATCGACTCACGTCGGCGCGAACAAGGACTCGGCGGCCTTCAAACCGGGAGCGACACCAGGACTCCCAGCCAGACAGCAATGTGTGGCATGGTATGCTCGGGTGACAGGATGGGATCCTTCAGAAGATCTGGCATGGGGAGATGCCTTCTCAGCCTTCCGGACTGCGGTCGTGATGCAAGGCATAGCGGCCAGATACGCATTAAGACAGAACAGCAGTGCGAGGGCATCCGAGTTTGGCCCCCAGGTAGTACCCAATTCACGCTGGGCATGGGAGTTGGTGTTGCGCTTCAAAACTCAGCAAGGGAAGCGCACACCATCATCCGGAAAACGTGGCACACCGAGTTCAGGGAAATTATAGCGCTCGAGGAGTCATGAGTACACACAGCCAACTAACTCGGCCACTTATCATGGGATGCTCGGTCACGGGGAGGTCAATCTAGGGGACGCTAGCTGAGGAAGAACACCTGCCTGGTATTCTTTCTCATTCACAATTGCAGGAGTAGCAAGCATCAGGTCCCCTGATTTGTACCTTTTTGTTTGTCCCTGAAAGAGAATGAGAAAATAATAATTTGTCTCATTACAGGGTGCCTGAACTCACGCGAAAACTTGAATTGGGTTGGCTGACCCCAAAGTTGATCGATCACTTCAAGTTCAAATTTGGTAGCCCTGTCAAGAAGTGCCTTTGTGACATAGAGCCTCAGCCCGAGGGTATTACCATCTCCTCGGGTAGATTTTCCTCCGCCCCATGCATTGGGTTCATGTGGGACGATGGCTCAGTTCCGCCGCCGAGGGCTGCCACTCATGCATGTTATTTGCCTTCCTAACCGCCCCTTTTCAAAACGCTAAGGTCTATGATTCACGGATTAGGAACAGCTCTCCTATGTGTCTCAATGATCCAGGATCGTTCAGCCTTCCGGAGTCGAGTACTGAAGGACATTGGACCGAGGCCCATGCAGCTCCATTCTCCTTGGATTGGGAAAATCGCTGAACCCACAACTATTCGGCGTCTAATAACCTGATCTTCACTTCTTTCCCCTTGAGCACATCGCCCAGTAGAAAGTTGTTCATTGACAAGATCTGTTCTTGATCGCAGAAATATTATAGCTTGTTCGTCGTTGCCCTGCCTCATAACCTGCAATTTGTCAACCGAGAGAAGTGACGGGAGAGATCCTCGATGTCTACCTCTGCATCTCAGAACATCCCACCCATTGCCCTCCCATTTGTGTCGGAACGGGCGAAAAAGCTTTTGGATGTGGTATAGACCCCCGTTTGATTTTGGAATCCGAGGTCCTGTTAACTATTAGCGACTATATTTGTTATCTTTGAGGGGCAGTCATCGAAACGACAATTGCGCATCCCACAGCTTGATCCTTTTTTTCCCTGCCCCCATCTATTCATCCGCCGCTCAATCTAGAAACGGAATTTGGCTGGGACACGTTGCCTAACCCGTCTTGACAGGTCGAAAAATTCGTACACGAAGAATGCATACCGGCGGATCCGGTCTTTCTCGCCCAGATTGGGACCGGCAACGGCCGCTGGCATGGTCACCCGTCCATCATAGATGAATTGAAGAAAAAAGCTCGTGCCCTGGGCATGTGGAACATGTTTCTTCCCAAAAATCATTACAAGGACGGCCCGCAATTCACGAATCTCGAATACGCCTTGATGGCCGAGTATCTGGGCAAAAGTAGCATAGCAAGTGAGGTACGTAATTTTTTTCTTTCTTCCTGGATTGAAATCCGTGCCTCCTAAATGGCAAGAGAGTGTGAAAAACTTACAAAGGCCCCCTCCCAGGCATGTAACTGCTCCCCACCCGATACTGGCAACATGGAAGTCCTCGCGCGTTACGGCTCGCCCGCTCAAAAGAATCAATGGCTCAAGCCTCTGATGGAGGGCCAAATTCGGTCTGCCTTCCTAATGACCGAGCCTGACATTGCCTCTTCCGACGGCAGTAATATTCAACTACGTATAGAACGCCATGGCGACCACTACCTTTTGAATGGATCCAAGACGTGGGCGTCCGGCACCGGCGATGAGCGCTGTAAGATTTATCTCGTCATGGGCAAATCGAATCCGGACCACCCGGATCCGTATCGGCGACAATCTATCATACTAGTTCCGTCAGACACGCCTGGGATGAAGATACACCGGATGCTCAGCGTATATGGGTATGACGACGCGCCTCACGGCCACGGCCAGATCACCTTCACTAACGTCAAGGTGCCGCTCGACGCACTTGTCTTGGGCGAAGGCCGCGGCTTCGAAATTATGCAAGGTCGCCTAGGTCCAGGTCGAATTCACCACGCCATGCGCGCCATAGGCGCCGCTGAGTATGCACTGGAGTGGCTGATCAACCGTCTAAATGACGAGCGCAAGAAGCCATTTGGCAAACAACTCTCGGAGCATGGCGTCCTGTTAGAATGGGTCGCCAAATCGCGCATCGAGATCGATGCTTCACGGCTCGTCGTCCTCAACGCCGCGATCAAGATTGACCAGATGGACGCCAAATTTGCGCTCAAGGAGATTGCAGAAGCAAAAATCAAGGTGCCTCAGGTCGCGCTTGAGGTGGTGGACCGAGCAATTCAAGTACACGGTGCGGTGGGTGTGGGCCAGGACACCCCACTGGCGAGTATGTGGGCGCACCTGAGGACCTTGCGGATTGCAGATGGGCCAGACGAAGGTTCGTATTTTACTCTCTCTCTCTCTCTCTCTCTCTTTCTCTCTCTCTCTCTCTCTCTATCTCTCTCAAAATAAACTTGAACATTCTTCTCGACGTTCCTGAGAATGAGGCTAATTTTGGTCTGTGTGCCTAGCTCATCTACACCAACTCGGCCGTCGGGAGAACAAACAGCGCAAGGACGAGGTCAAGAGACGCCTAGCCCAGCAGCTGGCAAAGACCGAGTTCCTCTTCCAATCCATGGGCGTGGACCGCAACGAGTTGGGTAACGCCAAGTTCAACGCGAAGTTGTAGGGTTCGCCGTAGCTAGTTACTTGTCTATGAGCTCGGTATGAGCCTTGCGAGGGGGAGATGTGTCTGGGGGATCAAAACAATTTGCTTGAAGGAAGAAGTGGGGATGAAGACGTGGGAAGCGCGAATGCGGCAATAATCAGAATGGGATGCACGCTCACAGGCAGCATCATATCCGATATATCCATAACAATTTAGCAGAGAATGAGATTTCAAGGGGGCCCCCGAGAGGTTTGCCCTGAATAGGGACCCTGGATTTCAACGGTTGGCAGCCGTCGTCAGAAGATATCGGTACTTGACCTCGTCCGCATCAGTCAGTACCTTCAGCCAACAAACTGTGGCTCCATAGGTTAGCTATTTTGTGGGGGGGCCTCGATAGAAGTAGACGTGTAGTCTCTTAGGACCATAGTCCCTGGAGACTATAGTCTAAGGTGTCGCAGGGACTATAGTCCTGACCAAGTCCCGACCTATGTACACTTCGAAACTACGCGAGCTAATTGGTCGGAATTGCGTTATTCTGTAGCTCTTCGTCCTCGAGAAGTTACTAACCTATTACTTACTAGCCTGCTATTTCGCGAGCATAGACGCTAAAGTATAAAGAACACTAGTGCTTACTATAATAGGTATATTAGTTAATTAGTAAGGACTATAGTCGAGACTAAAGACTATAGTCCCAATGCCTGAGACTGGGGACTGGGACGAGTTATAGACTGGTTGGCAACAATGTTGTCGAGGGTACCTGGCCAACTTGTTTGCGGCCAGCCAGCCGCTGATACGATTGGGTGTTTTCTTTCAACTCAAAGTTCCAGATCATCATGACCAATATGGTGCGCAGATGCAGATATGCGAATCGCCGGCCGTAAGCACCAGCCCCGCATACCCAGGCCGAGACTCCAGATGCGGGGCCGGCCTGGGCGTCGTAAGTATCCTCGCCTTTCGTTGTCTGACACGAGCCAGCGTTCAGGCCGGAAAGTGTTCACGTCCGGCGCGTCCGGCGTCCATTGGCCCACCTGGTTCTTCCCCTCCAGGCTCGACCTGCTGCGCATCGCGTCGTCGACGGGCAACAGAGGAGGGGAAAGTAGCCAGGACCGAGGTGCATGAAGAAGAAGTCAATGCCCTTGGGGGGGGTGCTGTGGCCTAGCAGCGTCGTGTCGACAGTCGTCGGGTGGATTGAGTCGTTGAAGATCTGAGCCGTGCGATTCGCCTCCTCGGTCGTGGCGTCAAGGCAAGAGATCTGGATTTTGATGATTTCCTCCATAAAATGGTTACGCTGTTCTGCGGCCGCTACGCTGTAGGCTTCTCGGAGGCGAGCTCGGAGTTTGCTTTGTAGGCCCCTGGCAAAGCGACAAGTACTTGATGGTCCATGCGAGTGTCATCGAAGTTGTGTCTAGACCTCTGACTATGAAGCCCATGAGCTGGAGTCATGTCAATACTCGGGGCAGCAAAATTCCACGATGGACACGTACCCCGTCCTTGATGGTGCGAGATTGGTAATCCGGGCCGGGACCCTCTTTCTTTGCCGCCGCAGTCTCTCGCTGCAAAAATCTCGTCAAACGCGCTCGTCCGTTTGGATCTGTTTGAGGACAGCTTCCGGATTGCTGCCTCGATGAAATCGGGAGGGTGAAAAGGGACAGCCTTGTCGGTTTTCGCCTCGACAACCGGGGGTACGGTAAAACTGTGCTATGATTCTTGACCGGACTTTTGCTGGCCGAGCATCTCGGCAACGGGGCTGAGATATTGAACCTGCCGACTGTGGTTGTCTCCATGACGCCGTGCAAGGAGTCATTTGCGGTACACCGTGAGAGGACTTGACAGGCCTTTGTTATGGCATGGCTGGAAAGTGCTGAAAATATCGCCCATCGCCTCTCAGTCGGCGCCATCGGATCACCGCTAGATCTGCTTTGCCGACATTTATCAGAACACGTGTGATCCTTGCAAGCTATACGCAGCTACACCCGCCATCGGGCACCGGCCCCAGTGATTCACCTAGGTAGAGATAGGCACGACCGTCTATAGTGATCGGTATATCAGCTGTACTACCGTATCTATTAGGTAGCCTGGGCTAGTTTAATCATACTCTAACCTCGACCAAAAGTGGCAGCGTTAGTGTTACGGTGTGAAAGTGAGTGGTAACTACACTCGGACTAACTACATATACTTGTACGGTCAGAAGAAATATATATATTGAAGATAGACCCTCCTCGCCGCTTTTGCACGCTTCGATTCTTTCAAGGAATCCTCGATGCTGCGACCACCCTTTCGCTCGCGTTCGTGTATTTCACGCGCTGCACTTAGATTCCGATCTATGGGGTTCCGCCTTCTTCTCCTACTACTAGTCCCCTCCACGGGTAAAATCAATATTCACAGCGAAGTCTCTCTACGTCGCATGTTTAGCAGATACTACAAGCTCCCGTTGAGATTTACCACTGGCGACATACCTTGAGCTGGTCATGTAATTTAATGTTGCGCGGTTGAAATCGGAAATCTCCCTGGCATGGCCGTTCTAGATATCACCGCCGACCGCCGCGAAGGCGGGAGCCCGTGATTTTGCCAGATCAGGCCATTCTCAGGTTTGAAGACGCCAGCAAGCACTTGAAGGGGCATCCTTGAAATTCGGTCTCAAGCCTGTACAGGAGGTACTGAAGAAGTTTGCCATGCAGCTAACAATAACCCACCTCTCCGTGGCAGCGTCGCCCGCGAAGGACCCGGAAAGGCGTAGTAGCATTCCCGAATTCCTGCCACCCCGCTACCTCGGGATTGGTATTCTTGAAATGCACGTTTACGCCGACCAGAGAAAATGACGGTCCGTCACCGTGCCTCGCATAATACATTCTGGGCAGCATGTTAAATATTCTTCCCATCGACTTTTCCATGTTCAACTCGGGACGCAACCATGGACGGAAACCTTGAAGACGTGGAGTTCTTTCGCCAGATAGGTTGGTGCGAAGCCTACCTCGACCCTGCCCGCTACTCGAAAATTCCTGGCATCACACGCAAACCCAACGAGCATGCTCGGGCCAATACACTGTTTACGCGCACCCTACGGTCGTCGGATTCGATCAGAGCCACCGTGTCCCTCTCCGCCATACCTGCCAAGCCCAATGATCCCGTGACCGAGGCCGTCACACTGATCTCGCTGGGCTCGGACTTGAACGGCTGGAGCGACACAATACACGGTGGATTCTTGGCCGTCCTGTTGGATGAGTGCGCGGGCGTGCTCCTGGGCTTGAATGAAGGGTCTGGAAACGCGGAGCCTCCACGCGTCTACACGGCTTACATCAATATCTCGTACAAAAGACCCGTTCGAACCCCCCAAATCATCGTTGCAAAGGCCACGCTCCGCAGCAAGACGGGACGGAAGATGGTGGTCACGGTGGACATTCTCGACCCGGAAGGTACCGTCTTGTGCAGCGCAGAAACAATGTTCATAACGTCCAATGCAGCGGCAAATCTCTGAAGACTGGCCTGGCGTGCGTCACCTGGTCGGTGTTTGTCTGAGCACGTCGTTGGGCCTCGGTTCGGCTGGAGAGAAACCGCGGACCGCGGTGGTTGGTCTGCACTGCATGGGCTGATGCAGTTCGCCACATGTCGCAGATGGCCTGTGGAGTCTTCGAGCCACGACCTAGACATCCAGCTAGATTTATCTGAACGGCCATTCGCTGACATCGACTACTATTCAATATAGAAAGACATGCAGCCAATATCACACCACGGTGGATAGTATGAGAAACACCACCGATAGGGATTATCATTGTCCTGGGGATGATGGCCATTGTGAATTCGTCGAGCAACCACGCAACTTTACCAGCATACTGTACATAGGCAAGAAGACGGGTGCTTAGATCCACCCCAACCCACATCCTCGTGTCCATTAGTGACAGAGCGGGGGATGGGCGGCATACCACAGTGCAAGTATCTCGTTCCGCCGTGTCCGATCTTGCCTGGATAAATGGGTCCGAACTTACTTGGTCTAGTTAGCCCCGCAGGAGCACACCCCCTCCTTCCCCCACGCTTCCTCGCCTTTTGCCCTGGAGCCCCAGTTGCAGGGGCTTGGGGGCTTGTGGCTTGGACCAGGAATCGACAAGAGACTTGGTCGTCGTCCGCTTAGCTCCAGCAAGGCTCGAGCTTCGCGAGTCAGGGTCGCGTCAAGGTAGGGTTCACTCTCCCAAAATTTTCTTGTCCAAACCTTTGCTTCATCGAATCCGTTGTATCTTCTACAGCCGTGGCCTGGCGACGCGACAGGTGCCCAAAGCTTGGTGATGGCCAGTCATTCTCCTTCACTGCCACGGCAGTCACATTCGCCCGGACATGGACCATCCGCTCCTAGCCCGGGTCACAGAGGGGCAGCAGCGGCAAGACGAAGAGCGTCGAAAGCGTGCCACTCATGCCGTACACGCAAAGTCCGCTGCGACGTCGTTGACCATGGAGTGCCGTGCACAAATTGTCGCCTCGACCGTGTGGATTGCGTCGTCACCGGCTCCCGAAGGGGCAAAGCGACAAGGGCGACGAGGGAAGAACCCAGTCGCTACCGTTCGCCGCAGTCGTTTTCTGACCACGCCGACGACCTTCCGGTTGGTCTGACCTTTGAGAAGAGGTTCAACAGATGCAGCCAAGCAGAACCGTCGAACCTGTTGAGTAACTCCGGGACCGACCGTGTCATTTCTGGCGTGGAAGACCCCGATGCCATTGTGCCGCGTAAGTCCCTAGAGGAGCGTCCCAGCTTCGTCCCCTGCGGCCGCGAGTGCCTCGTAGCTGATGGCGTTGCAGATCAGCCCCAAGATGCTGAACACCACCGTCCAAACGACTTTGGCCAGATGAGCGAGGCCTCCCAACCAGCACTGTCAGCGCCACTCCTCAATCCCTTGCAAAACGATGACTGCTTTGTCCCGCCCGGACTCGAGCAAGCCTACGGTCTTCCTCGCTTCGTCCGTCCTCTGCCATCATGCATCGACGCCCATGGAGCTCAATTCCTCGCGCACAAGGGGGCTCTGACGGTCCCCGACGCCAGTCTGCGGAACGAACTCCTGCGCAGTTACGTCCAATACGTGCATCCATTTATGCCCATACTGGACCTGAGGCAGTTTCTTACACCCATCGCGCGAAACGACGGCTTCGCCCAGATCAGTTTATTGACCCTTCAGGCGGTCATGTTCGCTGGCAGCACGTTTGTCGATCTCCGATTCCTTCAGAACCACGGATACAATGATCGACGGGAGGCACGCAAGGCCTTCTACACCTCGGCGCGCATGCTCTACGACTTTGACTACGAGTCGGACGATGCTGCGGTTCTGCAAGCCGTGCTCCTTCTGACCTACTGGTATGAGTCGCCCGAGGATCGAAAGCACACGTGGTATTGGATGGGCATCAGCGTATCCGTTGCCTATACCATGGGCCTCAACCGCCGCCACGCGCACGCGAATCGGGATCGCGAGACACAAAGACTCTTCAAGCGGCTGTGGTGGGCTTGCCACATTCGGGACCGACTGATCGCATTGGGCATGCGCCGCCCCGCGTGGATCAAACTCGAAGACCATGATACACCGATGTTGGAAAGAGATGACTTCGACACGGAGCCATTGCCGAACGAGCTGTTTACCTTGCTCGGTGGCGCGCCGAGCGTGCTGGATTGTGTCTCCCGGCCTGATCTCGTCTACTCGTGCATCGATCTGGCAAAGTTGACCGTCTGTATCGGCCACATTCTGGTCACGCAGTACTCTCTCGTGACCGAAAGTGCAGGCGGAACTGCGGGCGGAAGCATGATGTTGAGCCCACAGCGGTCGACCCTACAAATGTCCGAGGCCACCCGGTGTGAGGAGCGGCTGAGGCAGTGGGAGCAAGAGTTGCACCCTGAAGCTCGGTACAACGTCGTCGGGGCTTACCAGTACGGCGGATTGCCGGTTGACCCGGTCATCAACGTCCACCGGGCGCTCCTGCGAATGGTGTATCTGACGACGCTGTCCGCACTGTACAGACCCCAAGTCTTCCGTCCCAAGAAGCTGCAAAGGGCGAGGCCTTCCAAATCCGGAATCTCGGCCCGGCAGATCCTGAGGCAGGCGGCAAACGAGATCACGGATATCATCGCGGATTTGCAAGCCCAGGATCAGATCCGCTTCCTGTCTACCAGTGGTGTCATGGTCCTGTCTCCCACCGTGATCACACTGTTGCTGGACATCAACTCTCCGGACCACGACAAGCGAAACGCCAGCATCGCCCGCTTTTACCGGTGCATGCAGGTTCTGCACAGATTGCGCGAAATCTACGCCTCAGCAGACTCGGCAATCTCGTTTCTCGAGGCCGCCATCCAAAAGGCTCACGTGCAGATCCCATCCGGGAAAGCAGATCGCCCGTTTTCCTCGCGCGAGCATTCTGCCGCCGGCGTCGTTCACGCATCATCGGAGAATCGGACATTCTTGGCCACTGACGGCTCTTTGAATGACATGGCGGCGGCCCAGAATCAGCCGACTACGCTGTTGGACACGGTCGACAAGGACTATCCCCAAGTCTATCGGCAGACCGACCAGATGGAAGGACCTTTGAACGACGCAATGACCATGAGTCTGCATGACCCCATGGGTGGCGGGGCGTCGATTAGTGATGACATGCAAGAAAGTAACCAGTTCTCTTCACTCGGAGAAGGCGAAAACAACTCGGACAAGGATGAGAATTGGTATTTAGTGGATGCCTTGTTCAATTTCGAGGGAAATACTAGCCTGCACGGGTTTGACGGCGGCTTCGGCACCGGTCTTGAAATCTCATAGGCATTGATTTTGCGCGGAGGCGCTTGCGTCACAGTTAGACGGTGTATCCAGCCAATCTGTCGGCTGTCAAACGAAGTGTGTGCTGCGCTCCCCCGTCTGCCTGGGGCAGGAATTTAGATCCAAGGCGACCCTTTGCCCCTCTTTGCCTTCCGAGTCGGTCGTCGACACGGCAACTCTCAGCTGGCTTCTTGAGCTAGAGCTTCGTCCTTCCCGTGCCGTCACTCTTTGCCTGCGCTCTCAGCTCCCGCCTCAGGATCTTGCCGCTGGCACTCTTGGGGATGCTAGACACAAAGACGACACCACCTCTGAGCTGCTTGTGCTTGGCCAACTTGTTCTTGACCAGATCGGCGATCTGGGCGGCCGAGATTCTCGTCTCATCGGCAACCACGAAGGCTCGAGGCAACTCATTGCCGCTCCCATCCAATGCTGGTACGCCGATGACGGCGGCATCGGCAATCAGTGGGTGAGAAAGTAGCAAGGCTTCGAGCTCGGCGGGGGCCACTTGAAGACCCTTGTACTTGATGAGTTCCTAACATTGCCCACGCAAAATAGATGCCCCAAGTCAGTCAACCCGAAGCACTTCAGACTGTTATACCTTTCAAGACAAGGAGAGTGGAAGGAAGGAATTGGACGGGCGTTAGTTTTTTAGTTTTTTTTTTTTAAAAAAAAAAAAAAAAAAGAAAAGAAAAAGAAAAGACGGCTCACCTTCTTGCGGTCCACGACGTAGAACTTCTTGTCGCTCCTCACTCCAATATCGCCGGTCTTGAACCACCGGCTATCGCGCGTGAAAGCAGCGTTGGTTTCTTGATCACTGTGCCAGTAACCTCGAGTGACCATGGGACCTTGAAAGATGATTTCGCCCGGTTGCCCTTCCTCCACGTCCTGTTCGTCGTCATCGACTATGCGGACCCTGACGTTCGACATCAACGGCGAAATACTCCCAGTGTCGTCGACTTCGTCCCACGGCATGGATGTGACGGAACCCATCGACTCCGAGAGACCCCAGGTTTGCGAGAGATGGCATCCGAGCTTTTGCTGCGCCTGTCGCGAGAGTTCGGCCCCCATTGGCGCAGCACCAGATACGGCGTGCAACAGCGTCTTGAAGTGGTCGGTGACTTCGGGACTTTTGGCGATCATCAGATAGATCGGTGGCACCGTGAACAAAGCCGTGGTGCGGAACTGTCTGTTGTACTCTAAAAAGCCGGCAAAGTCGAATCTCTGCATCCAGTACACCGTGCCACCGGATACGATGGGGTTGACAAAATACCCCAAACACCCGGCCACATGTGCAGTCGGTAGGTGCGCAAGCGTGCGGTAGGCGAAATTGAACGAGGGATCTTTCAGCTTCCGCCTCTTCGCGTACTCCCGGATCGGGAGGCCCAAGAGAAGACCCTCGGAGACGAGGTTGGTGTGCGACACTTTGACGCCTAAAGATACACGCCGTCAGCGATCATCCAAAAAGGTATGAACCAGTGAAAACAGCCTGGCGCGAAAAGAAGATAGTTCCCCCTCCCCCTCCCCCCATTCACACTACACACCTTTTGGCACGCCGGTGGTCCCGCTGCTGTAGAGCAAGCAGATGATGCTTTCCTCCAGTTCTTTCTCATCGGTAATACGTTCCCACTCCAGCATCTGGTTGGGGTTCTCGTTTCCTCCGAGCAAGTTGGGCCCCTGGCCCGTGGCGTCGTGGAGTGTCCTTGCGCCCGCCTTGCTTTCCAAGACCAGGATTCTGTCCCGTCCTATGCCAACCTCTAAACAAGCCTTGACGGTGACTTCGAGACAGTCACTACTCGTGACGACCAGTTGGGCGTTGCCGTGCTTGAGCTGCCGTGCGAGCTCGATAGAACTATAACTCGGGCTTGCTGAGCTGTAGATGCCCCCGGCGGCGATCGTCCCGTAGAATAGCGCCGGCAGGAGGACCTGACCGGTGGAGACACAGAGGACAACGTCTTTGCCTCGTCCCCGAGCACCTATGCCATACTGAGATCGCAGGATGTGCGCGATTCGCTTCGTCCACGTCCGTGTCTGCGCCTTGGTGACCGAGTTGCTGGGATGGGCGGCCTCGACATGTAGCACCGCGGCATCGTCCCCCAAGCACCACGGTGATTCTGCACGCTCAGTGTCAGATGGCCCAGTTCGGGACGCGAACCAAGGGGTACCCACCAAAGAGTAATGTCAAAAGGTCGAGCGTTGGCAACACATAATCTTTTGCAGGCAGATAAGTGACCGGAGGCGTCGCCATCGCAGAGATGAATGGACGATGGTCGGTGGTGTCGATTATCGAACTCTCGACTTCGAGGTCACTGTCTAGAGGTGTCGATGTCGAAACCCCGATTTACATGGACCTCCGCAGCATAAGACGAAACCTCGTGTTTAACCCGTTTCAAGGGTAGAGAGACGCTATCGTCAAACTTACCGGCTTTCCCTCGTTTGGCAACGATGCCTGCGGACGAAGTGGATTCCGAGGCATACAGGGTCAAAGCCAGCGCAGTCCCATTCATCCCCGTTGCCGAGGGTGTCATTTCTCACCACCGTAACCGAAGTTAGATATGTACCTCGTATTGCGTTCGATTTGGCTTGAAATTCTCTGGTACGATATTCAAGCTTACTGTAGCCAATTTGCACCTCCCGCATTATTTTTTTTTCCCCTTTCCCTTTCGCATCTTACAGTTGGTGGTACACCAGCTTAAGAGTGATTGGACTAGCCACCGCCGTTGTACACATTTCTACTAGTGTTTGAAGTGAGACGCAGACTCTCAGGTGTTACGTACATTCACGTGGGCAGTTTGAATTGGCTTGTAGACAGCTATCATGTGTCTTACATGGGCTTAATTTTTTTTTTTTATTGAACCTGCTTAAGGAAGGCGTTGATGTTGTCGGCAACGACAAGTGCTATGATGCTGTTGGACTTGGTTTAGTGACCCTTCTTGGACTGTATACCGCCGACCGGGAAAAGGGGGGGGGGCACTTACGAATGGGGCGCAATCCTGAAAAGGTATGCACCGAACCCACGGTAAAATCGAAGGAACCCTTCGTTCCTCGCGACACTCAAGGCACAATGCCACATGCCTCTGTAGACGGGCGTCCCAGTCGCAGCATTTGCCCTTTGCAATCGGGTCTTCAGAAAGTCGAACGGCAGACTGAAAAAGGCGGCTGATATTCCGGCAATTGCCGAAGCACAAATTGTCTGTACCTGTGGGCTAAGCGTCGTGTGGGTTGACAGTTGGTATTTGGATTCCGAGAAAAATGCCAGCTGGCCGAAGTTGGTCGCCATGGCCCTTATCATGGTTGGGTAGGCGCCCGACCATAGAGCCAGCATCCCCTCGTTGCGAGAGATGCGAGCCAAGGTGTCGAAAGCTGAGCGGTAGTTCGCCCTGAGCTCTTTCGGCTGTAAGCCGTCGGACTGCATTCGTACGAGCGCAACCTCTGTAGGGTTCGCGACAAGAGCGGCCAACCCACCAGCAGCCAGTCCGGCCAATGCTCGGTGTTCGAAACCCATCTGCAATCCCTGCCGCTGGAGTCGTTGCTGCATCATGTCCTCGAAAGTGAAAAAGAGACCAAGTCGAGCGGTGCCGTACACGATTTGACGCAGTAAACCCGCCGAGAGCCCTTGATAGAGGTCAGTGACCTTGCCTTGGCTGACAATCGTCCTTGCTATAGACAACGCTGTAGGTCTCGGTCCTTTTCTGGCGCCCTCTCCTGCTAGTTGCAGGCGCACTTTGAGTAAATCAATCGGCTGAATGCAGACAGTGGCAACCATTCCGGAGGAGCCGCCAACGATAAACGGGAGAACTGCTGAAACCCATGGTGCCTGCTGAGCCTCTGTCGTTGCGGAGACTTGATCAGTTACGTGAGACATCAACTCTGGCGAAAGACAATGAACCGAGAATGCGGCACGAGAATAGGGAGCGGCGAATTGATTGTCGTCAACAGATTAGGCTTGACGCAAGACTCGACCATCACAAGCAAAATAGGTCCCAGCAGATGAGATGTCGCAAGAAGAGCGAATGACACCCCCAGCAAACGATGGGAGAGCAGCAAGAAAGCACGGGTCGGCCAAGGCGATACACGCAAGGCAAACAACTTAGCTGAATAGCGGGCCACCAGAATGTCTTGTCCCACAGACGCTGGCTATGGCACTGCCAAAATCTGAATTCGACAGCAATGTCTGTGGTTGGCGATCGGAGGAGAGCATGTCAACCTCCTTACGAGGTGACCTCGGTAAACTGCTTCGACTGGCCCGAACCAAGTCCTGATAGCCGGCACACCCATATCCAAGCCAGGCGCAGAGTTGCATGTTGAAAGCGGCCGGGGAACAAAAGAAATGCCCGATTGAGACGATCCGTGGATCGTTGACAACAAATCCTCATTGCGAAGGACGGTCACGTGCCACTTGGGCTGGTAGTCTGTGACCCAATGGAGGAACATGGTGAATTCTCCGAGACCATATACTATCGAATAATTATGTACAGGAGGGTTAGTGGTGCAGAACGAGCCTATTTTGGGCCACGGATACGGGCCTCGATACCCGGTGAGGGTAACTATGCCCTAAACGGCTCCAAGATATTATGTCCCTCGACCGCGCAAATTGCGGCAAAAGATCCCTTGGTCAGCCAGCGACCTTCAGGCACGCGGCATAACCCCCTCACCCGAGCTAGCTCAAGTACCGAGTATATCGGCACTGGGGAGAAGGCGGAGCCGGGTGTTATCCTGACCGGTAATGTCATGGTGACCCCTTGGAAGATGTCGAGGCCCCGGGAAATGCCATAATTCCACTGGAAGCCAACTTCCATGGCGGCGGACGATTTGAAGGCTTCAGAAGGATGGCCGAGGGAAGCCCAAAATAACACAGCAGTTTGATATTAGCGCAGGTCAACGGTTGACCCCAGCGGCACCGCAAAGACTAGGTTGGACGTTGGGAAGGACGGCGCCTCTGTATTTTGGCTGCAGCGGTTCAAATCCGCCAGGTCCCCAAAAGGACAAGCCACCTTTGATTCAAGCAGCGAGGACCAGATCAACATGTTTTCTGAACAACATTGAAAATCGATTGGAAAGCAAAGGCTGGCTGCTGATGAGAAGCTGTCGAAATTACTACGGACTTCCCCGAGTGCCCGACGTTCGACACAATACCGTGTTGACACTGCATGGCTCATCTGCCCAGTCGAGTATCTCGGAAATTCTGGTCAACATCGACATGTCTGCGCTGCAGCTTCGACGCTCTATTGCTTCCGCAAAGTGCATTTTGGTGACATCTCTCGTAAATGTCCGTGATGCTGACACTGGCCACCGAACCAAAGCTTCGCGACGATGGCGTCAAACCATTCCTCTGTGTTACGTGAACAATCTCTGGGACTGCAGCAGTGACTGGGGGTTTGGGGCTGTGACGATACCATGACATTCATTGTCAACAACAAATGTTAAGCATTCATGTTTATCAAGACCGTCTTGGGCTCGGTATATGCCCTGAGCGCATATTCACCCATCTCTCTGCCGATACCCGACTGTTTTCGTCCTCCGAAAGGGACCTGCATGTTCATGTAACTCACACAGTTGATGCCTACCACCCCCGAATCCACTTGTGCTGAAACCCGCATGGCTCTAGTGATATCGCGGGTAAAGACCCCAGACATCAGGCCATAGTCAGACTCGTTAGCCCAGCCAAGTACTTCCTCCTCCGTCTCAAACGTCCTGATCACGGCCACGGGACCGAAGACCTCATTCTTATAGATCTCCGCATCGGGTTGAGGGTTCAGAAACACTGTAGGTTCCATGAAGCAGCCGGTCTCTCCGTGCCGGACCCCGCCCACGACCAGCTCAGCTTGTGACTTTGCACGCTCAACCATATTCAGTACACGGTCGAATTGTCCTGCATCTACCAGTGGTCCTAGCTTGACCGAGAGATCTTGGGGGTCGCCTAGATCAGATGCTGCCGCTTTCATCCTCTCAATGTACTTTTCAACAAAGCGATCCGCAATGGATTTTTGGACGTAGATTCTCGTTGCGGCGACGCAGACTTGGCCGGACCGAGCCAGGATAGCATTCGTGGTCCAGGTAACGGCGTTCTCGAGGTTGCAGTCGTCGAAAACAAGCGCAGGGCTCTTGCCTCCAAGCTCAAGGGTGACGCGCTTGAGGTTACTCTGTGCTGCCGCCGTCTGAATTCTCTTGCCGGTGGACACACTGCCTGTAAAACTGATCTTGTTGATGCGGTTATGGCTCGCCAGTAAAGCACCGGTCTGTCCGTCTCCAGGGAGGACCTGGACGACGCCTTTAGGAAACCCAGCTTGTTCGAAGAGCGGGGCAATGGCAAGGGATCCCAGAGGTGTCTTTTCCGACGGCTTCACGATCATGACGTTTCCTGTAGCTAAACATGGTGCTAGCTTGAGCATCATGGTCGCCACGGGAGCGTTGAACGGATTGACAGCCGCACACACGCCCAACGGTTCATGACGAACGAGCTTAACAAATCCTGGGGTAGTGATCATGAATCAGCAAGATCGATATGGGAGGCAGGAAAACGTTCGTTGGGACGCACCATCGTCGGCAGGAAAATATTCTCCCCTGAGCTTATCTGTCCAACCGGCGTAGTAGAGGATACAGTTCTTGATGTAGTTTTTCTCTCTTGTAGGAATTAGAGACACTGGGTTCCCAGAAGTGAGGGAGTCGAGAGTGAGGATAGGCGTTAGTTTGTCTTCCACAAGTTCTGCCAGCTTGAGAAGACACTCCGTCCTCTGCATGGCAGAAAATTTGCTCCATTGCCCTCGAAATGCCGCCTCCGCGTAGGACACGGCCAAATCAACATCGGCAGCTCTTGCCACGGGGATGCCGTCCACGACCTTGGTGTTATCCTTGGGATTGAACAGAGTGTACGTTTCCGTGCTTTGTGCACTTACGTATTCTCCATTGAGGTAGAGTTTGGTAAAGTCGTTGGGGTTCAGTGATTCGGCGCTACCCATTTCGTACGAGGTTCGATAAGCACTTGGATATGCGTGACACTAAAGGTAGGCACGGTGTTGCATTGAAAAGGTCCTGCTGAGTCTCACTGACGCATGGACCTGGGCCGTAGACCATATTGGACGCGGGCCAGGTGCCGGGATCAAAATGTCCCAAAAAGCCCGAGGCTGACAACGCCAGCCTTGTGCATATAACCTCGGTTTCGGCAACCAATCTCTACCCAAATAAATGGACAGTACGAGGTACTATTGCTGGACAGACCAAACTTCATTAGAGTGTCTGTTATGCAAGACGGAAATTGAGACGCAGGCCATTGGTGTTTAATGAATGAAATCCACTCGCTTCCAGACTTTTCCGAACCAACAGGGGCTATGCCTCAGGCAGCTCCAAGCCTCGAATTTTCCGACCCTGTTTGTAGAGTCCATCTACCAGGAGGGGTCTGACGGTCTTGCCGTTGTAAGGTAGCTCGCTCAGAAAACCCCACCGAGCAGCCTCCTTCCATCCTTTCTCCTGCCAGTCATTCAGGCTGCCACGAGGGAAAAATTCGTAGACATCCAGCGCTGCTGGATCATGTGCGATCGTTACTAGAACTCGAGGATCGGCATCAAATTCCATCAAGCCAAGCACAGACTTCTCTGCCACGATTGGGTCCTTGTAGAAAGTAGCTGCATCCGTCGAGATGTGTGTGAACGGTTCCTGATACACAGCAGGCGCTCTGTCAACCTACAGTAACGCGGGGGTGGAGTTGGGAATACGGGGGGAGTGCATCCACATACCGACCGACCGTCCTCGCCATGAGGGTGAGATGACAGAAACCCTCCACACAAGCAAGGACGTGGCAGACGCCTGTCGAGCGCCGATCCTTCCGGGATAATGTCAGGAATTGGGATATATTTGGACGGTCTGATAGAGCCGGCAAAATGGCAGGTATCGGCTCCTAACAGCACGAACGTGTCCTGAGTTGTCCGAACCAGGCCAGCCATGTGTCCGACCGCATGTCCGGGTACGTCGAGAATGTAAAAGCTCCCATCGCCAAAGAAATCGTGGGCCTTAAACTGACCAATTTGCAGAGAGTCCGAGAAGCTGAGCTCCACAACCTCCCGGTCCTCAAAATCGGCCTCGTGAAACGGTGAGTCTTGTCTGGTAGGATAGCCGGGCATAAAAGCCTCCCGAAAACCAGGACCGACAACCATCTTGACGGACTTTGGCAATTTTGAGGGCGCTCCACAATGATCAAAATGCCAGTGGCTAAGCACAAATGTGTCGATGTTACAGATATCGACGTTGCCATTGGCAAGAATATCTTGCACGTCCTGCTCGATTTTCACCCCCTGCACATGACCTTGTATCAGGCCAGATATATGCGGCACATGATTTTGCCAATCAGCTCGAGCGCCCAAGTCAAACAAAAGCTCCGTTCCAAGCCTCTCGTGCTTGATATAGTAAGAGAACGTAGGAAGATTGATCCACTCGTAACCGGGAATTTTGGGCTCAACAAGGTAGTGGGGTGGTACCGTGATATCACAGGTCGTGTTGATGATTGAGACATGACAAATATCTGAGCCTCCAGGGAGATTCAAAGAGAGTATTCTCGAGGTATTCTGAGACTCTTCCATGTCGGTAGGTGTCGACATGAATCCTGGGTGGTTATGTGACTATCCACGACGGAGCCGTCACATATACAGTAGAAGGCGCAGGCGGGCTAGGCTAGGGCATTGGTCCGACCAGATTGTGTTCCAAGCGGTCTTAAAAGACTCCAAAGTTACCTCGGCCCCGATCGTGGTCTCGAAGTCATGAAGCGATGCATGGGGCCCTGGAGGGTACGCCAGGCGATGAGAGCGATAGGCGCTGTATGTTCCCACAAGGTGTTCTACCGTGCGAGCCATGCTGATCCAGAGATTCAGGCCGAAAAAGCCCTGGAATGAATGCTGAGGCGTTGTACCAATCCCAGAAAGGCATCTTTCGGACAGGCGCTCAGCGAGCGCGGCTCTGTCAACGAGCTGATACCGAGGTTACCAACCAAGATCGAAGCGGCTCGCGTCGTCGCCCAGACGGCCGCTGTCAAGGTCCTCCTCTGGCTCAAATGTGGGCCTGTGATAGGACTTTGCAGACATTGGATGGTCTAGATGAGGCTCACCAGCAACAACTGGGCAAATGAGAAGATGAGTACGCTAACGAAGTCCCCCAACGCAAGATTGAAGGGTCAGCCTGAGAAAAGCGCCAGCCTTGCTTCATGGCTGTTCGGCTCCGTACACGAGGCCCAACGTTACGCATACTGGCGCAATATGATCAGACACCATGGAATGCGACTGTTACTCCTTTCAAATTGTCATTGTCATGTTTCCAGTTTGAGGTTGAGCGAGCTTAAGCTGTACGATGTCGGAGTTAACAACATGGTCGATGCTGCCACGCCGCTTTCGCACAGTTCTATGTCATGATTGGACAGCTCGGGAGGCCGAGTTCCAGGTGCAGTCTCAGCGCGTTGTCCAATACCGGTGAGGCGAGAGTGGTCGCTCACTCGGCTCGCACGAGCTGGGGTGCGCAAGGGCGGCATGACCCTGATTCCTGATGCGGGGTGAGGCGCGAGCAGTTAAAAAACCGCGCCATGGCCGTTTAGAGCAAGATTATTCGCTCCCAGTAATACTCTGCACTGTAGTCGTCGTTGCCCTTGCCGCCGCCAATTAAAAAGCGTACAATCTCCGTGTAGCCATTCCTAGGTCGCATGAGAAAGGCAATAAAGAAACAAGTCGAGCTGGTCACAGTCTCTGATGTTATTTTGTCAACCCTCTGCTTTGTCTGGTGACCAACAATTCCTCAATTTGCGTGATGCTCATGAACATAACCAAGGATCCTTGAGCAGTTCTTGGGCCGTTGCACGATCCTCTGGCAACCACCGAAGCATTCTTCCAACGAACCGGAGAAACAATCTCTTGTCCTCGCCAGAAAGTGTAGTAATAGTACATTCCAGACCTATACCACAAGGCTTGCCGACTTTCCTGTCAATCAAGATCCCTTTTGAAGGAATTAGCAACACAATTTCACGGGTTTTATGGAGATCACGGGTTAGAATTATGGCGCTTACCTTCTGGTGTGAAAAACTGAGCGGTTGACTCTCCCCGGACGAGGAGCTGCTTAGGTGGTGGACCAAGGAACGATATCATCTCATTGAGATGTATATCGGGTGCGTAGCTATCAGTATCTGGGTCGAAAGCTTGAAAGAGCGATCGACCTTCCAATAAATCCCAGATCTGTCATTTAATTGATTAGCGAAACGAGCGTTGAAGGGGGGTTTCGTAAAAAAAACCATACCATTACACCAAGATTCCATATATCAGCGCTGTACGACCAGCCAGCACGTAGGATTACTTCAGGCGCCTGTAAGAGGTCAGGCTGGATCGGGTGGTTGAATGTGCCATCGAACGACGACCGAACGGCAAGTCCAAAATCTGCGATTTTAGGACGGCCAGGAGGACCCCTTAGATCTCCAAAGTTCCGATGAGCATATATACGTCGGTCGTCGTAAACTTTCGCTGGAGAAGGATGCCTTTGCTCCTCTTTAATGAGCTCGTTTATTATCTCTTCATCTTCAATCCCAAGTAAAATGTTGTCGGGCTTCAAATCTGAATAAATCAGCTTAATCCCCAGTCTTTAGAGTCTCAGATGAAGATACCTGTATGGATGATATGACACTGAGTGTGTAGGTAATCAAGGGCAGTCAATAGAAACTTGAGTAAGGGCTTGAGGAGATTGCCAGGGAGGCATCCGTTTTGAAGACGGCGTGCGAACGTAGACAGGGTCTCCCTCATCGGCACGTACACAAGACATAAGTGTACTCCAAACTGACTTTGGGCCTCGAACGAATCCAGAACGGTCCTTATATAACGTAAACCTTCGTGCGTCGGATTGGCCTTTGCAATCTGTGTAGACAGTGCCAGTTCAGAGGATGTGGAGTGATTATCTGTTACATCCCTCGTGAGAATTTTCAGAGTGACGAACCGATTCTTCTGGAACCTCCACCTAACGAAGATATTAGAATAGTCCGACCCGGCATTATTTTGGTCGATGTTACCTTGTGACATCCTGAGCAAGCCAAGTAGTGGATGACCCTCCGAATCCCAATTTCGCCAATACTTTGTATCTTTCGTGGAAAACCTGGCCGATTGACACAGGATAGTAGTTTTCTGGATGGTATCTTGGAAGGGTCTCCTCTTCTACAGGCTCAGTGAACGTCATCGTTAGCCTTCGTCTTGGAGCCAACATTGCAGCCAGCCCGAAAACAGAGCGAGGAGAACACCGCGAATAGAACTTGGAAGTCGCGAGCATGTCTAGCCATCGAGGGGGGTTTTGATTGGGCGAAAGAGGGTTGCGAGACAATAAAGCTTTCACTTCGGTCCATGTTTATGTACAAAGATGGGACGGGAAAGATTTCGAAGGGCAAGTACAATTGAGAGAGAGACCTCCGTGCTGCCTGAGCGGGGGAGCGGTGACGGGGTTGATAGAGTGGGCTCTTGTGATTATAGTGCGAGGGTGCTTTTGTGAATGTACTGAAAGGTCAACCGACATCTTGGAATCAATTTGCCGAGCTCGATGTAGGAGTAAATCCACCGACGCTTGACGATGCTTTTGAGAAGGCCGCGGTGCTATTGGATGCATCCTAGGCCATCACGGGGGGCATAACGATGGATCAAGATAGCCAATCACGGTCGTCTCGAAGGAGATCCCCCAAGGTGGGCACAGGGCGGCGTCACCCTCGATCCCAGACGGGGTGAACCGCGAGCAGTTTTCATTCATCTTGGCGACTGCAAACCACTGCGACTGCTGCTCTCCAAGTATTGTTCGATTCAGTCCATTTCCTAGTCCTCCTGGGACGTCCACTCCTTCGACCCAGAATTGCGATGTCATGAGCGACAGACGGAGAATAAATGGGCCTGCAGGCACAACCAGCCCTCCCGTGTTTGCGCCCTACTCGCAGACTGCGACTGCGACAGCTTTGCGACAACGAGTGAGGAAACCAAACGAATTGCGCAAGATATGTACGGTGTTACTCTTCCTTCACTACTGGTCTAAGCTGACACCGAGCGTAGTTCTACAGACCGGGATAGTCCCTTCAGCCAGTGGATCAGCATATCTCGAACTCGAAAGCCCTCCGGAGCCTAGACTCTCTCTTGTTCCTACATCCTCCACCATAAAGTTGTCATGCTCTGTACATGGGCCGAAACCGTTACCGAGAACCGCATCATTCTCGCCGAACGCACAACTGAGCGCAGCTGTCAAATTTGCTCCGTTTGCGACTCGTGTCCGGCAAGGTTACGTACCCAGCCAGACCGAAAAAGATTTGGGGTTGCACCTGGAAAATGCTTTAAAAGGGGTCCTCCTGCCAGACCGATGGCCAAAGAGTGCTGTTGACGTCGCAGTAACAGTCCTCGAAGGAGAAGATGACCAAGGGGAGGGAGATCGATTTGCGGGGCTAGGACTTTTCAACCTGCTGGCAGCGGCAATCAATGTGGCTATGGCGGCTTTGGCCGATGCGAAGATCGACTGTTTAGATCTGTTGGCTGCGGGCGTCGGAGCTGTCGTACCTGGACCCGACTCAAAGCCCCTGCGCGTGCTAGATCCTGCCGCTGTCGAGCACGATGATATACGGTCAAGCTGCGTGGTCGGCTATTTACCGTCGAGGGATGAGATTGTGGAATTATGGTCTAACGGATCTGTATCAACACAAAATGCTAATACATCAATTGGGTTCGACGAAATGGTGGATGCTGCCATTGCGGCTGCCAGGGGAGCCCAGACTGTCATCAAGGAAGCCTTGGTCGAGTCTATGACACGAAATCAGATGGCAGGCAAGAAACCCAGTCAGGGAGAAACGAATGACGTTGAAATGAAAACATGAATTGTCTGAAACCCTATTGAGGCGAATGAGTCGAATGAGTTCCATTGATCACGGCCAGACTATTGATTGTCCTTCCAGCAGAAACCCGCGGCTTCTGCGACTTTACACCAACTGAAGTGGAATTGAGAGAGGGAGAGCCGCAACCTCATCCGTACCTGAAATTACCTCTGGCTCACTTTCGCCTCATTCTCATCGACAAACGTTCCTCTGAGACTGATCGCAGACTTATTTAGACCTTGCTACCTCTATCTCTCTCCGCGACCAGGCGTTGGCTCTTTATTGTCTGCTCAACTCGTTTCCCTCGGTTTCACTCTCCCAAATCCCTATCCTATCCCTCCCCGACTCAACACACCCTCCTCTGCAAGTCTAAGCAACGAAAAACTCGCCGTCATGGCTCCTGCATACCAAGCTGACGACAACGTCGTCTTTCTGTACCATTGTCTCGCAAATGCCGCTGGAAAGGTACATACAACGACGATAGCTCTCTTAATACACCTCAACTAACATCTGATAGATCGACTGGAATGCTGTGGCCATGGCGACAGGATCGACTAGGGGAGCAGTGGAGATTCGCTGGAGGCGACTCAAGAAGAAGATTGAAGGCGACACAGTCGCAGCACAACCAGTTACTGCAACACCTGCCCAATCAGCTACCACACCACCTCCGCAACCTGCTCAAAGACCGAAGGCTGGTCAGGGAAAGAAGAAGACTGCCGCAAGCCGCAAGCGCAAGATCGAAGCTGTCGAGGATGAAGACGACGAAGACGACGCAGATGCCGCAGGACCTCCTCAAGTCGACGGCCAGGTTGACTTTAGGGCGTCTTCGTCTCGCCGTCGCACCAGGGGAAAGAAGTTGAATTTTAACATCAAGGCTTGCTTGGACAGTGATGTTGATTCTAGCGCCATTCTGTCTTCGGGAGGCGACGAGGACTACGTTGCTGATGTCAAAGTGGTCAAGTCAGAAGACGACGATTCGCTTATTTCCAACTCGGGGGATGATCGGAAGGCGAAGGCGAAAGCGAAGCGGATCAAGAAATCGCAGCCATTGTCCACCAAAGCGGCAGCACCCGTGAGACCGAATGATGTTCGACCAAATCTCCCTGCTGTATCCAAAGGAAACACTCAGTCCAGCATGCATCCTTGTGACAGACCACTTCCAAGCATCGAGTACTCTCCGCCAGCTACTCCATTGAGTGGTGTCTTCATGGATGGGCAGCAAGGACTTGTCAATGCCGACAGCGAAATCGCTCTGGAGAGCCTGAAACCCGGGATGATAATCACGCTGCCTCCAAAAGGCCGGGCTCATATTTCCAAGAGCATCCCCGACGACGCGGTAACCAAGCGAGAGTCGTCATTCTCTCTCATCTCGGCCTCGTCCGTATCTGCCACGAGATTTTCCACGGCTACAGACTCTGTCAACCAGATGCTTCAACAGGAGCTGGCTAATCATGTCGAAATCCGACCCGAGGACAGTGCCTCCAACGTTGCTGGTCATGCAGAAGAAGACTCGATCCCTGCGAGGGATATGCCCACAGGTAAGGTTTGAGTGGTCGTCTTGTAGACGACAGCATCCCTTGTTTTCGTGGCTAATCCTTTCTTCCTCCACAGGTATTATGACAAACACTGTCAGATTCCTGAAAGGTCTATTGTCTCCTTGAACGTGGCAGTTGGGAGCAAATCGAAGAGGCGAAGCCTTGATTCGTCGACACGCAACATCTGAAGACGGCATTGCTTATGAGAAAGAGATAACAATTTAGGGGGCGAATGGTGACAACATAAGCGGATGGGTGGGCTTTTCGAGCTCTCGACGATTGATCACTGAGTGTTAGTGAATGTGAGGGCTTTGGGGTACCATAGTCGAGCGGCATTGACCATGAGGGCGAAGATTCATACCAAGACACGGATACTTTCTATCAACACAACAAATAAAATCAACACAAAGTCGGCGCTGGAACTTTGAATTTGGAACTGCAACAAAAGCAGAGGCTGAGGCTGAAAGCCGCGAGAGATTATGAGAACATTTCAAGCCCACCTCGTTGGGCGACATGGTTAACATCTTGTGCTCGTTGCTCGAAGAAACTACAAAGAGCTAGCTGGACATTCGATCTCGATTTGATTTGATAGCTCTTCTTTTCAATCCCATTTACATCTTATTGACTGTTTGCTATTGACTATTGGTCACCGACCACGACCACGACTGACTGATAGCACTTGTCGTTTTCTCTGCAAATATTCTTTTCCACGCCGCTGAATGCAGGAAGCGCTCTGCACTCAGCAAGCATTCCTTGGTATTGATGTCTTCCTATACACTGCTCACTCTGCTTTTTACAGAACTGCGTAGGTAGGTAGGTACATAATGAGAGTAAGTGAGTGGTTTTTGAGACTATACAAGGAAGAGTCGAAGCGCAGTTTTATCATTAATGTATTGAGAAGTATTGCCACTATCCATACCGTGTCAGTGGGTTGTATGGTACGACATGACACGAGCTGGTGGCCAATTCATGACTTGACATGCAAGGTCTCAGTCTCAGTTCTCGCGCTCTTGATACCTATGAAGGTATGAGAGACCCTTTTCTCCCTTTGTGATCGATCAGCCCATTAAGAAGGATCTATCCTTCCAGCATCCCAGCATTCAGCATCTATCAGTCATCGTCCAGCATTCATGACCTGTCTGTCTCTCTGTCTGTGTGTCTCTTTCTGTCGTTCATTCGATATTGCACTGTCTATTATCAGCACCCAATCAGTCATTACCCTGTTGAACGATTCCGGTTCGATCCAGCCCAGTCGAGTCCAGCCCGACAAGCACGCGACTGCGCCCGAGCAAAGTAAACAAACGCCGTCATGATATCCTGGCATGCCATGCTACACCAAGAACAATCCATCCTAATCAATCCCCAATTGAGTTCAATCCCTTTTTCCTCTTCCTGCACACTCATGCACATGCGCAGGATAGGATCGCACAAAAAAAAAAAAATTGGCGAGATGATCCGCATCCCTCTTCTCTCCTCTCTCTGGAGTTTTGGGATCGTGCCAACGGAAAACACACGCACAAAGCATTGTCTGTGGGAGTTTCCCTTCTTTTTTCTCTCTCTCTGTGTTTCTCCGCATTTTCCGCTTTATTTTTTCTGTCCCTCTTTCAAGGGTTGGACTCGTTCTTCGCCGGAGGTGGAGGGAGTGTCATCTTTGACAGTTTTTCTTGAGACGACCTGCGGTATTTCATCTTTGGAGATTACCCTCTTCGCGGGTGTTTGCTGTGATCTTTGTGTGTGAGTGGAAGGCGAAATGAAATTGCGAGGGAAGAAAGCTATGCCTCATCTGCCACTCTTCTTTCGCGCGTGTAGTGCAGAGCACTCTGGTCCTGTGAGAAACTTCGTCTCAATCGGCCAGTGGAGCGCTCTGTGTAGCTGGCTGATCTGAATCGACGATTCAAGCCATCAAATAGTCCTTTCGGATTTTATGAAAGGAAGTTCTGCTGCTTTTCCCTTCTCATTCTCATCTTGGTTCGGATTCGTGTGAACTCTTCGGAAAGGGACACCGCGATCAGGGCTGTTCAATCACCGTGCACGCCGATCCACTCGCTGCATGGGCAGAGGACGTCGCCGTAGATGGTGCACAGTTTGCTGCACCAGCAGAAGTCCCAGCAGACGCAGATACGCGCGGCAATGTAGTCTTCCAAGCTCATGAATCCCTGGTAGTAGCGGTACTGGCCCACGGAGACGCCCTCGAGTCGCGCGGCGGCACACTCACGGTGGATTTCCCGACGAAGGGTCTCTTCGACGTCGGAGCGGATGTCGCCCAGGGATGCGGCGTGCGCGGCACAGCGTTCGGCGTGGGTGAGGGCGGCAGAGCGCACGGGGAGAGCGTCCAGGTCGGCCTTGGTGTAGTTCTTGGACGGGTAGGTCGGGTCCTCGACAAAGTTTGTGTGCGTGAACTCGTTGTTCGGGTGGAGCGGGTCACCCATGGTGAAGGGGGTTGGCGCACCCAGGGTCGCGCTGTTGGCGGCGCGCACGTGGAGGTAGTCGGCTTCGTACGATTCAAACTGGCCTGGGTAGCCGCTCAAGCCGCCGGAGGTGAGGCGTTTGCGCTTGAGAGCCAGGGCAGCGTCGGAGTCGTCATCTTCGCAGGTGATGTCGGTGAACTCGGTGCTGGAGCTGTTGTGGCTGCGGCTGTCGCAGGAGGAGGCAGATGAGCTGTCGTCGGAGATGGAGCCAGACATTGAGACGACGCGGCTGCTGTTGACATCTTGATCAACAAGTTTCTCAGCCACGCGAATCTTCTTGGTGAAGAGGAGATGGATATTGTCGTCTGTATTCACCAGTTAGAAATTTTGGAGGAGACTCAGGGGTTGAGCACCAAAAGGTGTTCGCAATAGAATACTAACCATCAGATGTCCGCTCATGCTCATTGCCCGTGGATCTGGTCACGAATGAGTCGCGAGCATTCCTCTTCTTGACTGGAGAGACTTTGTTAGTACTTTGGAAAGGAGAAACGTAGTATTTCATAAAACTCACCTTTCTTCCGGATCGTCAACGGACGCGGAGCTTGGACGGGTTGGACAGGTTGGTTAGTCGGCAAGGTGATGATACCGTCGGCAGTGTAGTATGAATCAGGAAAGGAGGGATCTCGAAGGAAGCCTTTGACCTTGTTCTTCCGAGATTTGGGCTGGAGAATGGGCTTGTCGTCGCTGGACTGGTTGTCTTCGTTTGAGGAAGTTTGCTTGCCGAGTAATTGGACCGACAAGTCTTCAGGCTCGGGAACTTTGGAGTTGGCGGCCAGAGTAGTCCTCTGAGCTTTGTCTGGTGCCCACAGCTGAGGCCAGTCTTCCAGACCTTCTTTTCGATCGGCAAAGCCATCCTCATCGACCACCGGAATGTGATCTGGAGAGGGCCCCTCTCTCGCCTCGACACCGCCAAAGAACGACTCAGTAGCCTTTTCCTTCTCCAACTCTTCCTCCACGTCAATGTAAAGACGCCCTTCGAGGCCTGTGCCAAGAGCTGCAAAGTGGTTGTCAATGACATCTAGTCAAGTTCGGTTAGTGAAGGCACAGAGCAGAGAAGTTCAATATGATGCCATACCTTTGGTGGTCACGTCCACACCAGCTCGGGCGAAGGCAAACTGGGCTAGTTCGGGTGTGTCGAGGATGAAACCTGAATTGGGGGAATTGGACGTCCTAGTTTGAACCTCATTGGCCTCCAGTTCATGGACAACTGAATAATTGTTAGAAATTCCAATGTGAGTGGACAGTATGAGCTTACCTTGTGCATTGTTGTCGTGTGCTTCGAATGTTCGTGTCATTGACTCGTCAGACATCTTCACTTTCAGACCAGCGTCCGCGAACATGTACTCGAAATATGGAGGTTGAGGGAGAGGAGGGAGGGGTTTGTTGAGAAAATATTCATCCTCGCTTCTTGCTTGGGATTCCGACGTGCCAGTGGAGGCGAGAGAAGAACGACCACTTCTGCCAAAACTGCGGGAATTGAAGCTGAGTTTCTTGTACCAGGATTTGTTGCGGCGTTCAGGAGAAGTGACTTCGGAGTCCAATGGAGGCTCCATGTCTTCGACTCTTCTCTTCTCAGGATCAGGGAGTCCAACGTAAGGTGCGCTGAAGACAGGCATCTTGCGTTGCCAAATCACTGGCTGGGCCGATCTCACTTGAGAGAAATTGAGTTGATGGGAGAGAGTCTTGATTGCACGACTGGGCTGTTGCGATCACAATGGAACATGAATAGAGAGACAGATACAACGACACATTGGACTTTGCAAGGTAGATGGAGGATTGTAGAAAGGTGAGAGAAAGAGAACGCAATGACATTGAAGAGATTTCAACTTCATCAGTGTGAATATTCACCTCATTGACCCAAGGGGGAACCATCTCTTCCCAGCCGCTTGATATTTCTTCACTGTCAACTTCTTCTGAGCCAATGGGTGGACGGCTATTGAAGAAATTTTTCAATTGTGCCGGTGAATGAATCGAGGTGCGGCGCAAAATGAACAATAGGAGTGTAAGTCGAGCCTTGGGGTGTGGCAGAAGGCTTCAGGGAGGCATTCCATCTTGGCTGTCATTTTCACAGCAGCGTGTCGATTACAGCCATCTCAACTGGATGCCACTATAGTGACGGTGTCGTTCAGTCGTCCTCACCGACTCTGGACTTACCGTCTCTGCGCTTGACGGACATAACAATGTAAGCCACAGGCATCCGCTTCTCGCCCAAGTCTTCTGCTTTCTCGATCGCATTTGAAGTTGTCCATAATGCTGCCAGAGTCCAGTATTCAAACTGTAGGGCCATTACTACTTCCTTTCGAAATTGGGTGCAAAATCTTCTGTCCTCTTCTCTTTTCAGTCTTCTTCCTGAAGCAACAGCAGGCCCGTGGAAGAGGGAGAGGTCTAGACAAAGTTGTGGAGCTAAGGAGGTTCGGATGGCATACGTTCCGATCAGAGTTTGCATGGGAGCTTCAGCTTTCAGCATACTGTAGGATGGGATTTCTGGCATACTGTGTTTCATGATACTCAAGGGAAGGAAGTCAGGGGGAATGATGGATCTGAGGCGCGCACAAGCTGTCGATCCGGGACAGCGGAGAGGCGAGATGGTGCCGCGCGTGGGAAATGCCAAGTGATGGTCAAGCTGCTCGCGCCTCACCCCCGATCGGGTCGAGGGTGATGCCGCCCTGTGCTCACTCCGGTCGCTCGCGAGTCAGGGTGAGCTAGAATTCGCCCTTGCTGGGAAGGGGACGGGAGGTATATTGACACAGAACACCTCTCGCCGCGTTCGCGAGTTTCCTTTTCTTCCGCCCAGGTTTCTCGACGTTGCTCGTGAGTCCTTGTACGTCCCACTCGACCACTCAACTCCTTGACCTCTTGAAGCAAATGACTTCCCTCCTTTCTGCGAGTCCTCCCCGTCGAGCGACCACCTTCCACCAATTCTACCCACCCTCTACCTTCCGAAGAGAATGCAGGCCTCTCTGAGCGCTCGAGCGGGCTCACAACCACTCTCCCGCCCCGTACCGGACTTCTCGCCCTAGTCTCCGAATAGGGCGCCACCGCTATCTACACAACGAGAGCGGTGACACTCTCGGCGTGCCCGCCTGTCTACTTTCAGACTGTGTCGTGGGGACGGGGTTCTCAGTCAGAAGATGGTGGTGATTCTGTCCCTCTCGGAGGCGATCCAGGTGATCGCTTGAATAGGACTACATATGGCACACTACGACACAATTGAGACTGTACATATTCTGCGAGTAAATCGAACGGCCTAGCGATCGGCCAATGGCGGAAATACTTCACGGATGGGCATAGGCAACTGAGTCACTGGGCTGACGAAGATCTGCCAACTTTGCAGAACGGAACTATGCAAGAGCCGGTCTCATGGGCGGCTGAATCGTTCAGATTCTGCCTGACAGCGACTATACTTGGGGCTGAGTCAAGGAGGAACGCACAGTTCTTCCATCCTGCAGATCCATTGAACAGACGGGATCCGTGCATGGAAAAAGAGCAAGAGAGCAGACACCGTCGGGCATGCGCCTCAGCCGCAGTAATGAGTGCTCTACGCTGATGTGGTCGAAAGCTGGAAACATACCCAGACTAGACACCGTGGGCAGGATCGACTCGACCTTCGAAGGGCAGGGAATCAGGCCTGGGGAATGAGGACTCAAATTCAGCCGGGCCAGAACGAGAGAAAGGAGCAGCAGAGGGAGACGACCAGAACCGAGCGCCGGGTTTCGAATCGCTCAGCAAGGAAATCGGTGGCGATGTGCAACAATCGCGGGATTAGTGCTCGAATGGATCCCACTCGAGGATTCTGGTCTCTATCCTCTGTCCTCGATCACAATCTGCTCTTGAAGCCTCTCCTCAGAACCGCAAGAAGGGTGGAATCAAGACTCATTTGACTTCCCGCGCGATTTTCCCTGATCAGCATACCTACGAGGCCCACGATGTTTTGACCACGACCATCAGACCATCTTGAGCTGCGAAGAACGCCGAGATCAGGAAGTGATTGATCGACATCTCTCAGGACTCTGGCGTAGTCTACGACGCCGATACGCCCCTCGACCGCGTTGGTAACTCTTCTATGTCGATGTCCTTCCCCTCCCAGGTCCGGGAAGGACCCTCTGGAGGAGGAGGCCATCAGGCCACAAAAGACTAAAGGACACGTGGTATCGCTTCTCCATTTCGCGACTCATTCACACTTCACCCGTCCTGTGCAGCGAGACCTCTTTCTTGACAGCCACCCTACGCGGCGAACTTCAGACAGATTAAAAACATTCATTATGGCGGTCAAGAGAAACAGCCCGAACCTCGACCTCGGAGGCGCACTGTGTGCTTTCCACGTGCCCTCTATCTCGGTCCATTTCACCCTCTTCGTTCTCTCCTTCTACGCCTTCTGACGCCGCCAGTCGCTCGGCTTGCAATCTGATTGGCGAAAGCCACCTGTGATCAATTTTTCTCGGCTATTTCTCCGGTATTGGGGGAGGCGAACTGCTGTCCATCGATTGCGCCGCGCGGCTGGGGAGCTGTGCATCCGCCTTGAATACTTGCAGAAGCATGTTGCCATGCTCCATCTAGTCGTGAGGGAAACCGGTGTGACGATCCCTGGGGTTGTCTCACGCCGTACACAGTTGGTAAGGCTAGCACGAAGCTAGTGCAGTGTCTGGACTCAACACCGTGTGAGTTCTCATTCAGCCAGCACTCGCTGCGTCATGCAGGTTGGGTGTCCAGCCTAACGTCCCTTCCTCGAAAGTCCAGGGCCTCAAAGGACGTGCATCCGGGTGGCGTCATACCCCTGCAACCCGCGGTATCGAATACAAAGCCATGTACGCATACGGGGCCGATTCGAGAAGTCAAATGTACGTATCGTGCGTTAGGCATCACAACAACGGACCTTAGAGCAAAGGCTCTCGCCCGGATGCAGATAGACTGCAGCAACGTTTGGATTCCATGGTGAAAACTTCCTTCCGGACACACTGATATCCCCTACCAGAAAGTCCAGGGCCACGTCCGGCCTGATCGTGTTGTGGATGGTTGATGGATCGATCTGCCTGGTCTTCTATGGAATTTGAGATCACTCAGCCGGGTTTTCAGAGTCGGACGCTTCAGCGCCAGCATCTTCCAGTTTTGAAACTTTTTGCGTCTAAGGGCTTGTAGGTCCCCCAAACTTCAGGAAGGCGTTCTCCTTCCCGTCAACATGAGTGATTCCAGCTGCATTGTAATCTCTCCTGATAGCTTCCTCAACCTCTGCTCCAGGCTTCCAGACCAGTCTCGTTGAGGGGCGTGCTCTCCCATCTGCCTTCAGGTCAGCGCTCTGTTCTGGTCAATTCCTGTTTCCCACCATCACTCCTTACCCTGACGTGCTGATGAACGCCCAGGAGTCCCTTCATCCGCCTTGCCTCTCCACAAAGCCTTCAACCGCCGTGCTGCCTTCTTCTCTCTCCTGTAGGCCTGCTGGTCGACACGATAGCGGCGAAACTTGGCATTTCGACCCGGGCCTTCCTCGCTTGTGACAGTCCTTGAGTAATATATTTGCACCAGTCTGCGTGGCTTTGTATCTTCGTCAGATGACCAAGGATTGCGACTGGCACATACACCATCAACTTGGACGGTTTGATGCAATCTCCGTTGGCCTTCACCCTCCACCACTCTCGCCTTTTTCAATGACTCTAGGAGGACTGAGAATGAGGGTAATGTTGGTGCTTCTGTGCTCGCCGTCGAGGACGGCGCCGACGAAAATGTCCGATGCTGTGTGACATTAGCACCGAAGCAAGGAAAATAAGCGACAATTGTTCAGTAATGCTCACAGATTTATCAGCCATGAAGCTGATATCCATTATGCCCACTTGCTCGGGTGTCGACAAACATTTCGTCAAGGGTGAGACCGCAGATGCGGCCGTACTGTGCACGCTTTCGGTTTCAGCAACGCTGGAAAGTGCTGGGCCTCGATAGCGCCTCGTACGATTTGACATTTTTTTCAACGCCCTCGACCGCCTGACCGCGGTCACACGTCCACCACAGGGAGAGTAGAATGAGTCAGTCAGATTTTTTGGAGGTTTCGCACCAGACGTCTCTCTCCATTTTGTGAAGAGTTGATACGAGGCACTGGATTTCCTTACTTGCCATCGAATATGTCGAGTTTAGAGTCTACATGTCCGATATTAACCCAGCAGTTAGTCGTACTATTATATGCGAGTCTTCAACGAAACATCAACGCAGGTGAGAGGACCGCAAGCAGCAGGTAGGTGTCCATATGGACACCTTCAAATTTTGCCTTGATTGCGAGGGGCGGCACTTCCACTGAAACAGTTCGCCAACTAGGTAAGCCACGGAGAGAGGCCTGTGCGAGTTTGACATGGGTCGAGGCATGCAAAGGGATGCTCTCGGCTTTCATCTGTCAAACAGCTCGCCCTTAGGCTAGAGGAACAGGAAGTGGCTTGAGCCGAGGGTGCTCTCCACTCTCGGCTCGATCGATCTAGGGTGATATCTCTCAGGAGTTCCTAGCTATATCGCTCCCATGGGTGGGAATGAAAAGAAGATTAGAGCGGGAGGGGGAGACGATGGTCGAGGGCTTCTTCCACATGGGGTCTACAGCGATTGGCAAACAGGCGTGTTATCCGAAATCTGTGAACGTGACGAAACTACATTGGTCGACCGAGGGGGAACGAGGTGCATAGGACTATCGGGCCCACGAAGCGGTGGGCCTCCCTTGTGCTATGGTCTTCAAGGCAGCAGACAGTGAACAGGGATCCTGCTCTAGTGGGGGAGTAGGGCCAAGGAGAGCGGCCGCTCGATTGAATGGTTATATGAGGCATTGACTCGTAGGGGGACGAAAGTATTGCCGGTCAGACACAGAAATTATTTCACCGACGACAAAAGCGGTATCGTCGGTAACCCTCTAGCCTCGCGCACAATTCAAACAATTCGGTCTGCTTGACTCGACGTCACCCTGCTTAGACACATATCTCAAACTATGTGACTGGAAGCCCTCCTGAAAAGGAACCTGAAAAGGAAGAGTGAGGAGCAACTGAGGCAGTCAGGGGGCGAGAAGGAAACACACGACGACTTGGCTCAGATTCGGAAGGAAATGAGTCAGCTCGGTCCCGCCAAACCAAGAGCGCATTTTTGCTGAGAAGAGTGCTCGTCGAAGAAAACGTCCATTCTGCTGTCATCAATCACTTAATCTTCCAAGGTGTTCTGTCCCAGTCCTGAAGATGAATCCAGGTACCATCGGTATCAAGTGCCGGCTCCACCAGCTTGATGCAAATATGTCCAGTGGGCGCTACCAGCAAAGCGCAGGTGCCATTTCTGTCTCCATCGACATTCCAGTATCCCAGTGTTCCTTCAATGGGCTCTCCTTCCTGGTCGATGAGCTTCTCTCCCCCTGACATCGACGAGATTGATCTTTGCAAGCGATCCGGGGGAACCAAAAGATCGAAAGGTGGAACGAGGCTGTGTTCTGTGTCCTCCCTATTGGAGCGAGCTTGGGTCGTCTACCGTGACGCTGTCAAGTCTCTTTCTCCGGTGTGGAAAGGACACGGCGTGCATGGCTTGAGCACGCGCTTCGTGTTCTTGCGGTTTGTCCCGAAGGTTGGCTTGGTCATGAGGAACACACACTGAGCTTCGTCCTGCTTGCCTCCATATGAAGTGGACTAAGAGAAATGGCGGTGTGCTGCCACGCCACGAAAGAACAAAGACGAACGGGTGCAAGATGGCGAAGTGAATGTAAGGCAACCAGATTGGGAATACCAACGCCTTTATGCGTCTGAGGCCTTGATCAACTCTCTTGGTATCGACAAAGTACAGAGCATGCTCAAGCAAGTCACATTTGGCCGCCAAGGGGGCGGGTAAGCACCCTGCCCACCTGAGTTGCCATGATCTATTGGATCTAATCCTTTCGTTTTGAGGGACGCGTCGCTGTCCCTCTTCCCCTCGCGGCGGTGACGATGTGTTGATGCAAGGATGACATGGCAATCAAAGTGGCGGTTAGAGCGGACGCTAGCACTGATTTCAGCTTGCACAATTCTACAAGCCTAAATCAGCCTAGTTTCTTCTTCGGACTCATACACTTCTGGCAATTGTCGTTCAGAAACTGATTCTGTCCTGGAACCTCTCGTTGAAATGGACGAGCAAGCTACTCGTGGAGATCAAACAACTTCAGAATATGTGTCGTTCCTGCAAAATACCATAGCTCAATTGCTCAAGCACCATCGTAATGTGCATAGAGATTGCACCCACCTTCCATCAACAGGCAACTAACTCAACGATTCCGAGCTCTGGAACCAAACCACGCCGCCAGCGGTGTCAACAGGTCGACTGGATGAGTCTAGGTCATTGGATCGACACCCTGTTCCAAATGAGACGCCTACAGTACACGGGCAGAGCAGGCGCGAAACACTCGAGATTGTTCTATGTAACCCTTCGGAGCAGCCATACCATCCGCGGAAGACTGGAGCAGGTCAATGGAAGAACTTCGCCAATAGGTTGATCGAGCTTACCCCGAATGCGAAAGATTGGTGGATATAAATGAAAGAGATGGGCCTTCAGCAAGTTATGGAAACGGGCGCGGCTGCGTAGTTCGTTCTCGGCGGTCGCTCTTTGGCTGTGAGCGAACCTCCATCCTTTGTTACTACCGCCATCCTAGTCCTGGAACAATATTATCGCAAAATTACTTTTTGGACGGCTGATCGTATTCATGTGCCGAAATCAGAAGGAGAGAGGAGTCGACCACCCAATATCGCGCCCATGTGAGTTTTACCTATTTCCTCGCAATTCTTGCGAATCTTCGTCATGAGCACTCGAAGGCACGAAACCGGACTGTCCCGAAAGGTCGATGCAGAATGAACCTGGCCATTGCAGTCTCGTATAATGAAACCGTCGGCGGCGATGGTGCTTCCTTCTTTGGCAGCTTCCGACGCGACGCCGAGCAAGGTACAAACCTCAACGTACTCCTGGAAAGAGTCTAGGTAGAGCTGTCCCGCAAACAAATTCAGTTGGTAGACATATTGGCGTGACAAGGTCGACGGCGTCAGCATCGCCGTAACACGATACAAGTCCAACCCATCGATTGGCCGGATCCCTAAGTTCGGCCTTGGAGCGTAGAGGTGCAGCGTCACTCTTGTGGAACTTCGAATATCTGTCAGGAGCATTTGCGCTTCGTAGGGGCTGATGATGACCACGTGTTTGATGTTGTTGTCCCTGCCGTCCCCGATACTAGTTAGGATCCACTGTACAGGCCGTTGGTAAGAGTCGAGGAGGGAGGATTGGCCCAAGCTTTGAACCGTGCTGGCGAAGTCGACCGTGGTGAGAATACCGCAGGGAAACTGCGACAGATCAAGATGTGAAGCTGCGCTGGTCTGGCGTAGTGTCTCGAAGGCAGGCTTGAAGGCGTTTGAACGGTTCTTGATAGCTCCATTCATCACGAACGCCTTCACATCAGCATGTATGCGATGCAGCGCGGGTTCTGCTGGCGCTGGTCTCTGCACCTCACGCTCTTGCACAATCTCTGGTGACAATTCACGTTCTTGTTCCTCCCGTAGTGTTGCGGTACTGTGTTCAAGCGTGTGGAACTCCCGGCAACGGTCTTCAATGCGTCGTAGATTTATATTATGATTGGCCTGCATAAAGGCTGGAGTGTCATTGGCGATACTGGGGCGGTATCTGTCTTCCAGAGTCTGGGCTTCTTCCTCCAGAAATCTTTCGGCGTGGCGTCTGGACATTACCTCCTCTTCAGTCCCGGCAGTAGCCCAAAGTTGCCGTTGGTGCTCAAAACGCCGTCCTTGTAGAGCCCATAGAGGTATACTCCGTCGCGTATCGGCCCAGGTTTCGGTGATGGCCCAACAGAGTACATCAGGCACGCCGATGTCCGTAGACTCAGGAGCCTTTTTTTGCGAAAGGAATTGTCTTTCAATCTCTTTCGGAACACAAAAGACGACCGACTGTCCCTGGCCCAGTTTTCTCATTCTCATACATGCTTGGCACGAGTTAGCGAATATCGCCACGGCCATCCTGTAAACTCACCTTGAACCAATCGATCCTTCGTCAAATTAGCACCTAGGGTCACGGCAGCCTTGTAGTACGCGGGCAATTTTAAGTCTGTTCCTCTTGTATGGGCCTCGTCCAAGAAGACGAGACACACATCCAGCTGATCGGCAAAAGGTGAGGTTTGAAGGCGCTCAATTTGCCCATTACGGTCGATGACAGAAAGCTCATCGTCCTCGTTGAAGAAAACCACGGCTTGGGCTTGTTGATCGTCCCGCGTTCTCTTGAGCCATTCTCTCGCCACCTCCCCATTAGTCAATTCCAGGATCTGGGCGCCGACATCCAGAATCACTTGCGCCGGTGGGTCCATCCCGGCCACCAAGTTCAAAAGGCTTTCAGCGGTTGAGTTGCACGTCTCCACTGGAGCTGGCATAAGCACGACGGAGTTTTCGGGTCGGAGGAGATGCTCCAGAACCAGGGCATTGGTATGTTTTTGCTCTGGAAGATCGAGGTGCGCGACGCTGAGGGGCAGAGTCATTCGAGAATCACTCGTCCCGCTGAAGCCACTGGTGGGAAGCGCCTTGGTCTGGCCAATGTCCCACCCTGACACGGATAATTTATGCGGGAATTCTCTCATCTCCTTCGGAAAGACGAGGTGCGTCAAGAAATAATCGATGGCCTTCTTGGCATGGCGGAAGGGAGGGAACAACTGCTCGACGCACAGGTGGCGATCCTTAAGATTGATGCCGGTCAACTGACGAAATGCTGGAGGCAGATGGGGGACGTCCTTCACCCACTCTTGGTATTCAATCCCACCCTGGTCGGACTTAAGGAGGTTCTCAAAGGCCAAAAATAAGTCGTCGTCATCTATTCCACCGTAGTAGTGACTGAGACATGTCAGGACGATGACAACGTCAGGGTGGCTGAACTCCGATCGTAACGTAGGACTGTCCTTCGCCCGGTAGGGTACTGCAAGCTTCGTTGGGGGTCGCCTGCTTGCGTCAAGCCCATACTGCACCCGCCAGCGTTTCTGGCGGAAGGCGAAAGGCATGATCCCTCTGGCCAGGAGTCCACGGAGGAGAAGGAGAGTTTGTTTCGTTGCCTCGGTCCAAAATCCGCCCAGGCCCTGGCTTTCGACTTGGTCGATTTCGTGTCGCTTGAGAGAGGGCTCGGTGAGGTATCGAAACACCGCCTCCCTGATGGGCATTAGCTGTCGGGCAATGGGGAACCCCTCCAGACCGACCTCGCAGAGACGCCTCGCAACGCGAGTGAAGAGCCGCTGTTGGCCATCGTCATCCAGAATTCGTGTTCGGGGGAAGCTTCCAGGCGGACCTGCGTCCATCTCCATCGAGGCAGGATTTTCCCGCACCACTTCCGGCGCGAACATTTTTACTAATTCGAGCACTTGCTGGATGCACGTCCACCGCTGTGGGCTGAGCTCGATGGGCCGTTGCTCGCCCATGGTATAGACCAGGTCAAGTTTGTCGCTGAAGTTGTCGTCACTCTCGTCCACAATGTCCCGACTCGAGGCGACGAAGAACTCCTGTATGTGTAACAGAGAACGTCCGATGGTGTCTTTGTCGGTGATGAAACACTCGAGGCCCATCAGCTTGAAAGACAGAAGATGCTCGGGTTGTACCAGGAGAACGCCTCCATTTTCCATGCATTCCCGGCACATATCTCCGATCATAACCGCGTCCGCGTGTTCAAGTCGAAGGGAACGCGAGAAAGGCATATAATAGACGCGTCGATCTACTAAGCCTCCTAGCTTGGAGATCAGCATCTGGGACATCTGCTTCGCTTGAGGTTTCGCCGTGATAGTTCGGACCAATCGAGTCCCGTCCGCGAGTGCGGCGGCCACGATGGGGATGATCACCGAAGACTTTCCCTCGCCCATGTTCAACTGCATCGTGGCATTCTCAACGACGTCCTTCATCTGGCTTGCAATTTCTTTCTGTAGGTACCGGATCAAGATGCCACTCTCAACCTCCAGGAGGAGGCATTCCGGATGCTCCATGGGATCCCAATTCGTGTGCCCAGGGTCACGTAGCTCCTTGATGAGATCCACTCTGCTGTCAACCAGGTTCACAAGTCGCTCTGCTCGTTGCAGTTCAGTGAGGCCCAATGCATATCGGATAATGCAACACCTCCAGTCTTCCGTGACCTTTGACCATCGATGGCGACTGAGCTGGTGTAGGAAGAACATTGGACATATTCTTGGCCACTGACCGATTTCCACCACCGCGGGAAGTTCTCTACTCACGGCAGACGACATGTTGGCATAGATTTCTTGGACGCCGGCGTTGCAGCGAGCGAGATGACCGTGGAACGTGCTCTTCATGCCTTCCGTGTCCGACGGCAACTGATACTGCTTGTGCCAATTTTGGAATGAAAGCAGGCTCCCTCGCAGATCATTGACGTAGCCCACTTCGGAGCTCGAGCACGCAAGAGACTGGAGGTCATCGAGCAGGGAAGGCAGTCGAGGCTGTGCTTCACCGACATTCACCAGTGACAACAAATTCTTAGGCAACACGGGGTACTTCCAGGAATGCATTGAGGGTGGTGGAGCAGTGAAAATATCGTCAATGGAGATGAAGGTTCGTCCTTTCACGAGGGTCATGGCGGGACTGGCCAAAGATGGTCGGTGTATATCCACCGGTGTCACACTGACGTCCTGAAGAACATCTTCAACTTGACTGAGATACTCCTGTAGTTGGTAATTGTCATACCAAGTGCTGAACAGGGGCTGCGCAATTTGCTTAACTTTGTTCATGTTCATGTAGGTGCGGACCTCGGCGTCATTCTGCCAGACCGGTCTGTCGACTGGCCACTGGATTTCTAGTGCTCGCATCAGCCGGTTGAGCGAACGATCTTGATTGCTCTGAAACTGGCTTTCCTGACGCTGCTTCAAGGCACGTTTAGATTCGTTAGGACCACGAGCGATACATGACTCCGGGCATTCAGAAAATGGCCGAAGCGCAGGCCTGAGAGCAGAACGCAACTTTTTGTTGAGCAATCTCGACCCCTCTGAAAGCCGGAAGGAAGTGGCCGCAGGAGGGGAAAGCTGTGTCATCCTGGAAAGCACGAAGAATGCTCCCAGACTTTGGATAATCTCGATATCACAGTTTTTAGCGAATACTAGGGTGCTAAGCCAGATCATCAGGCGAAATCTGTCGAAGCGGGGTTCTGCGCTACTCAATAACTGGTGAAGGGTACACCAGTGTTTGGCGACGACCTTGGCCCAATCTTGAAGCCACCCAGCGTCGTATCTCAATTCGGAGGGTAGTGGATAGTCCAGACCAAGAATTGGCTCGGCTTGCGACAGAAAGTGCCATACTCGGGTGCTCCAACCAGTTGAAAAGCGATAGTGAACGGTGGAACGTGCTTGGAACGCGAAAGTCGACATAAGAAAGGCGTTGGACCCTTGCGACGAATTTTGACCCCGATCCCTAGCTGAGTATATCGAATCACATGTGACAGTGTGATCTTCCGCCCCGAACCCTGACACGTCGAACGTGGATGACCGGATGCGGTCGCGGTCGAGAAGGTCCGGCTGGACGTGGTCGAGAGCTGGTGGCTCCACGTAGGACCCTGGGTAGAAAACTTTTGTCCTCTCAGCTTGGTCGAAGATGCGCTGAACGCCCTTGTATAGACCTCCGTGTTGAGCGAGAAAACTAAGTTCTGGTGTCCACTTCACTATCTGCATCACTCGTTCATGGGCAGGGTAGTAGCTTCTCCCTGGGGTCAATAGAGCGATCCGACGGAGGACATCAATATTCTCTCGGTGTAGGCGGTCGAACGATCTGACCGCAGCGGAGGAGAGAATAAAGAGAGCCTGCTCGGTTCCTGTCCTCTTGATCAAGGGGTCGACCAGGCAAAAGGACGTGAGGGCGTGGAGATAACATAGCCACAGCTTGCTCTGTAAGGTTCCATTGTCCAGTAATCTTCCGAGCTGATCGTCCACCGGGTAGGCGTGGGCTTTCGCCGCTGCTTCGTGGTGGATAATGATACGAACGTGGTCACCGGCCCTTTGGCACGACAAATGGCCCGTCGGTACGACTAACAAGCGTCGTCCAGTCACCATGTTCTTCAATATCAGCTTGCTTTGCAAACCGACCAGCGTCTCAAGGGACTGGTCTGTGTCGACAGCCAGTCCACGGAACTGTTTTGACTCAAGGAGTGATGTTCCTGATTCAAGGGAAAACGCCAGCGAGAGCCGGGGAAGCTCGATCTCCAGTGTCGACAAAGAGCACTGTCGGACAATGTGCACGTGTTCAGGAGTCTCCAATCGAGAAAGAATACCACCAATCACTTTGGAAGTCTGACTGCTGAGGCTGATTAAGGAGAGACCACCCTTCACCATATGCCACCGATCCTGACCTGGGTCGCGGATCAACCTCCAGTTGTCTGGCGAGGAGTTCCAAGGGTCACCGACGGGGCGGCATTCGACATAGTCATCCTGGGTATCGTACCAATGAACAAAATCTGCGGTGAAGTGCACGGGGAATTCTCCCTGTAAAATCCAAGATGGAACCAGATCGTAGGTTCGGCCATCTTTCACCGCTCGAACCCGAAGATCTTTGCGGTTGGGATGGAGTGCATCCAAGGTGGGTCGAATGTCGAGGTGAACTGCGTACCCAGCATGATCATGTTTCACAGAGAATTGCATACCAGGCAGAGTACTCGGCATAACTTCTAGATCTGATTGGCCAAACAGCGTGCGATACACCGGGAGCTCCATAAACTCCGAAGGTAGGCGGGCCAAGGGGAGTCCATCGACCAGGAATTCGCCAGTCAAGAGGTTGTAATGGACCACGACTGGCCTTTCACCGCCCTGGGAGGACAGCGTATTGAACAGCCAATGGTCGAATGTGTCCGAGACAGGACGCCACCCATCACCGGCCTTATATGACACCCAGGTCTGCCCTATGGCCTCGTCCAGGCATCGACTTTGAGCGCCGAGAATTTGTGCCGCCAGAACAGTGTAACTCCGGTAGCACAGCGACCTCCATCGCTGATACAGGATAGGGGTCAGAGGATCCGTAGCTCCGGAAATGGCGGAAGCGCTATTCCGGATGAGCATGCAGCATTGCAAAAAGACGGATCCGTCTTCAGGCAAACTCAGTATTCCTGCTAGGGACCTCTCGTCGACGTCGAAGGTTTCGGTACAGACTAAAGCGATCTGAGCGGCATGAAAAAGTAGCTCTGCTCGGTGGGAGTCATCAGTCGCTTTGTACGCCTTGTCAATCAGAAGGTTGACCCAGCCAAAAGTCATTGTCCGAACAGCACGCAGATAGGACCGGCACCGAGTCTTGATATCCTCCGTGCCGGTCAGGGACAACAGTCGAACCAACACGGAGATGAACGTGGCGACTGCTTGGGAAGATTCCCAATTCTCCCGGACACGCTCTAGGCTCTCCTCGATGCCTCGTAAGAGAGCGGTCGCAAAATTCGGATCCCTTAGGACCTCGTGACCGGCTCTTAAGACATCGCCGTCTTGCGGAGGTCCAGCTTGGTAGATCGATTGAAGGACCACGAGACTAGTTTCGTCTTTTCCGAAATCTACCGAGGGGACAGCGAGCTGCAACAGAATATTGTGCCACTGAATGCGATACCCTAGTGGAATGATACACAGTGCCTTGTACTCATCCAGAGACATGTGCGCGGGACAGTCAGACTGGCTTGCGATGACGGTGTTCGGCGACGGGCCACTGGGGGCGGTGCTTGGACGAAAGAGAAATTGCCGGAGCGGCGATGAGGAGGCCGGAAAGGAGTAGGTCAACAAGTCGGCGACAACGTCCGTTGTCTCGAAGCTGTCGATGAAAGTGCCCGTTGCGCCGTCGAAATACCGATACTGTAGTCCATTGCTGAGGCATACATCGCTTTGGGTGGTAATGTTGATGGACTTGCGGCGCCGATGGGTGACGGCATGTGGTTTGCTTTCAGACAGAAGATTGAGACGCCGTTCCGGGCTGTGGGGTACAAAGAAGGAAGAAAGGCCGCTATAGCTCTCTAAAGGATGATTTGCCTGGGGCCTAATGGCGGATGGAGATTTGACTTGGAAAACTTGCACATGTAGAAACAGAGCTGTGTCGCGCCATTGACCAAAAAATGGAGGCACCCTCAGCTCGAAGACGGCCGATTTCGCTTCCAGGTCCTTTTGTGGCAATGGCCACTCGTGAATGTCAATGGTAAGTCTGTCCGCTTGAGATTTGTAGCCGCACCTTACGCAATGGTCGCTATGGCGTGACTCTCGGATGTCATAATAATGATCGACCACGACTTCCTGATACTCGCAAACACTGCAATCGTGACGTTGCATGAGTGAGCAGTATTCCTCCTTTTTTCGGTTCAGTTCTTGCACTTTGGCGTCTCTGGTCCAAGTGGCACTGAGAACAATATCGTCTCGAAGGCGCTGATGTTCGGAGGATTGATTGAAATATCTCACGGCAAAACAATCCGACTGACCATAGTCCCGGAAGATAGATGGAGACGCGTGGTGTGCGACTCGTTGACGGTTCTTGAGATAGTCTTCCGCACGGAGCAGTCGTTGCATCTGGCACTTGAAGGGTAGGAGTAAGCCCTGGGCCACTTCAGGCGGAACGCCTGGATCGTAGTCCTTGAGAAACTTGCACAAATGCACGGCAGACTGATCGCAGGCAATCCAGAGCTCGATGATGGTTAGTAGCAGTGTGGAGAAGCTCTCGGGGTTGCCAGTATATAGGGGTGACGCTGTTCGGTAGTACGATACGATCAAGGCACCTAACTTTCCGCACGTGTCGGCATCGCCCCGGTGGTGTTCCAGCCATTGTGGCAGGCACGACGCCACCCATTCTTCGAAGGCTTTGAGGTTATACACCGTATACTCTTCGAAGGCGGACGGAATAGTCGGAAGGGCGTCGGCCTGGTATTTGACCAGCATCGAGGTAGGGCGGTAGGGGTTGGTGGCGGTCCGATGTGCTCCCTCGGACAGGGAGTTGACAAATCCAGCCAAGCCGCGAAGAGGAGCAGAGACGTCCTGCTTGAAATCCAGGTTTTCGAGGACTGACAGATCCCGGCGGAGCGAGGCCTGCCGAATGGCTCTCTTCCACCTGCCACAAAGATATGCGGCGGTCCTGCTCATGACGCTTTCAACGACCGTGATTCCGGCTCTCGAAGCGGATGGATGGAGCTTGATGAGACGGCGGTTGAGCTTGGCATTCATGATGTACAGCAGATCACAGGGCATTTCGGACTGGAGCGACAATTCTAGCACCTTTGCCATCAGGAACGACATGAAAGTCTTGTAATAGCCCGCCGGCAGATCTCCGTCGCTGGCCGATCTCGAGAAGCCCATGTGCATGGCGACGCGAAGAAGTATCCAGACGGGTGACCTTCGCCATGGCAACAACGCATCAAGCCATAAGACTTCTTCACGGGTATTCTTTGATAGGCGGGAAACGTCCATAGGTGTCCCGACTGGGCCTAGGAACCCCATGAACAACTCGGTCACCATTTTGGGATGGGTGGTATCACGATTTTCGTCGTGCATGCGGCCTGCCTTCCTCGCTTTCGGTTTGGTGTCCACCACCAGCTGATGGCTCATCTTCGCAAGCGTGTGCGCCACGGTCGCCTGGAAACTTGGTTGCGCGAACGCGTCGATCGTCAGTGCCACGGCGGAACCGGGAAAGGCGCGTTGGAGACGGCCCTTAGTGGTGATGACCGGTCCATTCAGGGGTGACAGCTCAAACACTTCCACGTGGATGGAACGGCCCACCTGACCGACCATGACGCCAGCATTCTGGGCCCGTATATGGAGGAGCAAAGTGCCACCTGGAGTTGAGTCAACATCGCCACTCGTGTGGGAAAGGAGTGCAAATATCCACCTTTCTCGGGTAAGTCTCTCAAGGCATCAGACAATTTCCCTTCGTTGACGTGGCCATCCGAATCGAGGACTGCACTCAAGCTGGTGACCATGCGAATGACCGAGTCAACTGCACCATTGCTGTCCTCTATCGCCAAATCTTTGAACTCCCGAAGTGCGGCGATCGTGGTGTCCAGCAATGCTTTCTCATGATCTGGACTGGAGTCATCTTCACTGGGCAGTTTGGGTGGGAGGAACATGTGGTGGATCATGAACCAAAGAGGGCTCGATTGTGATCCGTCCATCGACTGAGCCCTCATGTTGTAAGAAACGGCTAACGGACGATTTCTCACGTCGGGGAGCGAATTCGGGCAAAGATAGGAACTTTTGTGAACAATTTCCGGATGGGTGATAAATTTGAGGTCGCAGTCTCGCGGGCGAGGTTCGTAGAGAAGACTCCCAAATACCAGCAACAAATGTCGCCTCTGCCCCGGGTTTTAAGAGGAGAATGCACGTTGCAATGTCAGGCCATTCGGTCGATAGCTGCCTCGTCCATGGTCCATGGCTGAGAGACGCATTCGACCATTCATGGATAGTGCCCAGCAGATAACAAGGATACGTGCATCGACATGAATGGTTGACGGCGCCCGATCACGCAGACACTCATGCACAGTTGGCAAACCTAGTCGTAGGCTACATATTGTCCTTCGTGTTGGGAGATAGTGCAGAGGCAGCCCTGTCACTTCCCCTTCCGACGGCATCGTTGGCCAGTGCAAGAACAGCCTCGACCATGTCAGATGAGATATGAATGAACTCGCACGTTGTGCGTGAACGGAGTCCTCGAACGCCCACATCGAGGCGCGCGTGTTCACCAGGAGTGAGGCTTCTGGATCTCCCCGCTTCGGAAGACGAGGGCGGGAATGTCGAGATTTTAGTCCTCGAAAGGTCGGTGTAGGTGTCAAAGATTGGAAGGGATCCCTCAATGGCCTAGTGAACGCGACGATCGTCAACAAGATTAGTATCCGACCGTCGTCAGCGGACGACACAACACACATACTTTCGCAGATAGACAAATGTTGTCGGCTATGGCAGGTTAATTTCATGGTGACATAGATGCTGGCGACGTGGTGTGAGAAATGGGGATCCACATCCCCCCACCCTGAACATGTAGCACTGTCCGGTTGATTGGATTTGAGCACTTCAAACACGGGGCTGAGTTCTAGAGGATCTGTGCAGGAACCATCATCGTACCCTTCCCTTTGATGGAGGTCTCTCCCACTTGCCTTTCCCTTCGTCCGCAGGCACGCACGCCCGCCGCCTCAGGAACCCAACTTCTCTTCCGACATTTCGGACAAATACAATAGAAGTAAAGTTTCGTCGGTTGAGAGACGGTGAATCTCTCGTTTAATCTTCCTCGTTATCGCGAACGGCGGCAGGAGCACCGGGATTAGTTGCACAAACCGCATGTTAAAATGTGGCCTCCAGGATAGGTTTCACGATCGGACGAAGCAACGTTTTGCAGCTGCCGTCATTCAGCCGCATTGAGTGCATCCTGGGACCGTGGTTGGGCTGGAGCTGACTAGGCGCCAGCGGAGGGTCAATCATATCCATGTTGAATGAACTCTCTCAGGATCGTCCCTTGTGCTGCAGGTCCAGAGATGACTCGTAAGCACCGGATGCGACGTGTCGAAATTAGATTCATTGCATTGACAGATCAGAGCTCTGTTTGCCGCCTCGAGAAACCTGAACACCCACGATGTCAGATTGGTCAGACTAAATGTATCGTTCGCAGTTCATCGAGAGGGGGTTGGCGGATGCATCCGAAAGCACAGACAGGAGGAACCTGACTGGTACAGGTATCGTCCCCCACCTCAGCGGACCAGCCATCACCCGACGCTCGCTGCAAGCCGCTTGGGCGACTTCTTTGCTAAAGCGCCGTAGGGTGATTTAGCGGCACAGGGATGGAGGCAAGATCCTTGTACATATGCAGGGCCACACCGACGCACTGGACGAATTGCAAGCAACTATTGGGACGCCTGTCTTAACTGTAAATCGTTGGCGGGGCGTCCAAGAAGTCATGGGCGGATACCGACGTACCCAAAAGGGCGAGTAGAAAAGCCTTGATGGCGATATGAGTCCGTCTTTCTCTCTTGATCTCGCTCACAAGCAAAGCATCCCATAAGTTTCAATATCGATTGAATGAGCTTGAGCCAACAGTCATCTCATTACTTGTAATTCTCCACAATGACCGGTCCATTCAATGTAAGGGAACTATTAGTAGGCGACATCGATCAGGTACCTTCAGGATACATTCAAAAAGAGTCCGTTCGATTCCACTGACAATGACGATCTGAAAGGATGCCGCATCACTCATCTCCATTCTACATCATATTCGGGACGTCTTGAGCGAGGATGCCGAGTTGTCGCATCGAGTCGGGCTTCAGATCAAAGAAACGGGTCAAAATGAAAAGCGGCGTTATGATCAGTTGCTGAACTATCAAGGTCCGGACGACACCACGCTTACCCTTCTCCAGGAGAATCATAGTCTGTGGTTGGCTCAGCCTACTCGTTTTTGGACGAGACCGGCGGCACCGAACCTGGGACACCTTACACCACAGGCCCAGATTGTTGGCTGCTACCTCCAGACAGAGCCTGACGATACTTAGTCAGCCATGATCCGGAGGTGCACCTGTATCCTGCTGTATGAATTTCAAGCTCGACACCGCCATCTTCCTCTCGACCACCCGGATGTGATACGACCTCTCACAGAGATCATCAGCAACTGCACGCTGCCCAAGATTCGTAATACTATCAAACATATGATTACGGTTGGTAGTAGACTCAAGAATCTTGAAAAAGTCTTCGGGCCTGGAGTAGCTGTGGTGGTTGGATGTGACATTGCGGAATCGACGTATGTCCCCATCCTGCGGGGGATAAGACATACAAGTACTGACTTCACAGATGGTCTAAAGTTCTTCCCAAGAAAGATGATAAGTTCAACAAAGTTATCGACCACTGGAGAAGCACATCGCTTCCAGAACTGGCACGGAAATACGCCAGCATGCAGTCAACGGTCATAGAAAGTCAACTCTGTATTTTCGAACGCCTGATGCTCACGTGGCCTGGGGTCTAGGTCTCGCGATGGCAGCCGCTTTTGCAGTCTCCGATTTGGAACAGCCGTGTTACGAACCAAGCTTGCGTGCGGATTGTGTTTGTGACTAGACAAAACACAGGGAGGGTCGGACGAATCATGGGAAACGAAAATCGCGGGACCAAATCAGACAAGGACAAGGGGAAAAGGAAATTCAGAAAACACGTTCGGATATGCTGTTGGACGAGGGGGAACATTAGGTCCACCGGCTCACGCGTGTGGACGGTCTATAGCCAAGTTCCATATTGGCCTTGGGGGAGTTCTGTGGTAGTCCCTTTGGTAATCCAGAGCCACACCATACCTTCCGAGTCTGTACGATACGATCTGTCTTCTTCCATTCGCATACCAGACTAGCTTTGGCCTCAGAGATCAGAGCACCCCTTCGACGGGTCTAGACAGGGCGTTCCCTCCATCAGGCTCGTTCGAGTGTGTGATCGAGGTGGAAAGCCCTGTGACTGAATCAGGAAGGCGCCTTCCAGTCTCGCCCCCAGCCATGATTCTCTTTCTGATATCGTCCCCGATATCACTCATCATATGCGTCAGTGTCTGTGCGGAAATAAGCGACGAATTCCGAGCTCCAATGTCCCCGAAATATGGAGGCTGCCACTTAATCCAAGTATTACCATGGCAAGGCCGCTCCACGAATTGTCCTGGATGGTGTTTCAAATACAAGTTACAACAGTAACACGACGGCTTACTGCAGCCTATATATCGATCTTGATTGACAAAACGGAGATCGTGACGGTAAAAGTGATCTGCGATCAAGGCTTCGGCATGTACCTTTGGTCGAAACTCGACTTGGTCACCTTTGTATCGAAGCGTTCGAGTAACGAACTCTTGGTAAGATTCTGCAAGTGGCTTGAAACTTTGGCCGGGAGGACTGGATTTGAAGGCAGGAAACAAATACTGGAGGACGCCCTCAACAGTCGAAAGCTGTCTTGTCCACCTTATGACAGATGGGAGAGGGTTTGGGACGGCTTCGATTTGCAGTTCGCGGAAGACGTCCGGTGCCTGTCTGGCAAAAGAGACCACCGTTCGTGCTGCTTTCATCCAAGAGCCCAGTCGACCGACGTAATGGCGAATCAAAGACCAATCAGAGAAGTCCCCATCTCTCAGACACTTGTCGCTGAGCTGGACCATCGACTGTGTCCGCCGCAGCTGATAGGCGTTCGCGCACAGACGAAGGGGATCAGCATGAACGGCAACTAATTGTTCCAATGTACTGAAGAGTTCTCGGTCTCGACAACTGGTCAGTGCATGCACAACTTTATAGCATACAATATAGTTGAACTCACCTGAATTTGAGAGATCATCCGTTCCCGCTGCTTGAACACGCGTGACCAACTTCAATAGCCGACGGGCATAATTGCAGACTTTCTTCCGACTTTGGTCGATCGAACAAGCGAATATTTGCTGCACGAGGTACTGTTGATTCCAATGGGGAGTCTGCTCTACTTTCTGTAGCTGTTCCAGCAACCAAGTAAGATGATCGAAAGTCTTTGTTTTCACGTGTCCGTTCGAAGCCACCCAGAAATGTAGCCCTGTGACTTTCTCCTCAACCGCGATCGCTATCACGCTGCTGCCACCTAGTTCGGAATCCCCGAGCCAGGAAAATTCGTCCAAAAATTTGTGCCAAGGAGACGAGGATCTTTTGCCTGCGGTGTGGTTTGCACTGTGGTGAGGAGCCTTCGAACCAAGCATTCTCAAAAGAAGTGTAGCTTCATAAAAGTAGTATAGTGAATCTTCAGAAGCTTGAAAGATCCGTGCGTCTGCAGCCCCTTGTGGTTTATGAGATGCTGCCAAGATGCGTTTTGACACGTTTGATGGTGAAAGATCTGTGAGCGGACTCGACGAAGCTTCCATCAACAACTCCATGGCAGATGACAAAGGATCCCTTGAAAATGGCCACCAAACTTCACGGTCACAGATGCAAGGGAATGCCTGGGTTAGGACATTGAAGATGTTCTGTCAAAGGAAAAGGAAGCATGAGGAAGAGGGAGCGGTCGCCGTCTCTATATCGACCTCGCCAAGACACATGGAGTTTCAGCCGTGATCTCATGCATGCACAATCTAGGCGAATATGCGCTAGGTATTCCAACTAATGACGAATCAGATACTTCCACATGGTTGTCTCGGAGGGGTTGGCGTCACCGCTGTATTTGCTCAAGATGGACAGAACTGGCAAACTGCTGGGACGAATCGGAAATGGCGAAGCGGCAGGTAACGCCCACCTCAATTTCATCAATATCAGGTAACTGACTTTCATATTTCGTGTTTATGACGAGTCCTTTCACGAATTTGCAAATTCCCAAATTGGCTTAAGCGATAGTTTTACAAAGCTCTGTGGGAATTATTTATACTAATTGCCTCCACCTATATGTTAAGGAATTGGCAAGCCGCCCGGGAAGCCAGGTGCTTGGCTTGCATTTTGGACCTTCCAGTCTCTTCGAACTTGTGCTCTCGGAAAAACACTGTTGCTGCAAACAGAGGTGCCTGTGTATCTGTTGTTATTCGCTGGATCTCATACCTCGGTATGACGCCAATCGCATCACCCTTTTCCTTTAGCAGCGTCGTATACCGCGATATGCCTGAATCAAGCTCGACAGCTGGCGGTACATCGGACAGTGGAGGAGATGGCGCATCTTGTTGTCCCTTGTCCTGCTGTGGTGCTGGAAGACTAATCTTGCGATGATGGTGGCCATCGGCGAATCGGCGAATACTGGTCAAGATTTGCTGCTTTTGTTCGTTCGTGCCAGTTGAAATGCAGCTCCCAGTGAGTCCCATAAGGGTTTCATAGCCGTCATTTAGATTGGTATTCGCCTTTGTTGCCAAAGTCAGGTTTCCTTGAAGCAGGAGTTCGTGGAGGAGTGCCTCGTATGGATAGCTCCGTAAAACCCTCTCAAAAAGTGACTATCAAGGAGTTAACAGCAAATCTTGCGGGCGCATAAAGCAAAACATTGAGATGACCTACATCAATGTTGGATAACGAATGCACACTCTCCATCTGTGGCAACAAGTGTTGGGCAATTATGCAATTGAAATATCTTTTGCCGAACCAATAGTCTCGCGGACAGAATACCTCATGGCTTCCCGTCGTCGAAGTAATTTGTTGACTTGGGAGATCGAATTCGGATTCTTGCAAAGAGTCTTTGTCCGTCTCTTCAAAGTTGAAGAATTGGGATCCATTTGACATAGTCATTTTGGAGATCGTGCCCAGGCATCGAGCAAAGAAGATTCAGCCCGTTCTGAAGGTCCGGATGTTGGGCCATATTTATGCGCTCCCTCAGAGCTCCAGGCAACAATGGATGCCGCAAAACGTGACACAAATCGTGCCTGTTTGAGATCGTGGTCTGATATGTAGTTTCCTAACGTAGATATGCGATTCATGGTGAGAAGTGGCCGAGGATCGCTTAGTGTGACGCTAAACTTCCCCACGGCATTTTAGCGCACTATGATGAGAAGCCACTGAGCACCCACCCCTGCCTGGCACATGCTTCAATGACCAGTCCGCGGCTTATCTGCCTGTAACTGCGATCTCTTTTTCCTCCTTTGCTAGTCCATCGGTCTGGATTAGGATATTGAGCCGTTTCTGAAGAGAGCCGGTAGTCTCTGCCAAAATACCTTTGACTGTGGAGTAGAGCTTGATGCGTTAAGGTCGACACACGCAAAAACTCGTCAAATTGGAGGAAGTCCACTGATGCTTAGCGTGCGTTCAATAGTGGCGTACGCCAAACCTTAGTGTATGCTTAGCCACTTCTGTCCTCTTTCGAATAATCGCACCTATACGAGGTAAAAGGGGTACTCAAGGTGCAGGGTATACGTTGGTCCATGGTTGGGCCCCGTCTTCCGTTGCAAACGTGTAGTGTAACATTCATGACTCTTCATGATGAGCTTAAATCTTTGTGAACTAAAGTTACCCTATCTAGATGCCCCCATATAGCCAACTCCAACGTATTGTATCTGTGTTATATGCGATGCCCTCGTTGGCCATTCGGAACAAGTTGTCAGGAGAGACCACAGAATCTCGCCATTGATCCGACTACCGCCACACTGACACTCCCTAACACATCAAACCGGCTATGTACCCTAGGCGAACGAGCAACGGGTAGAAGACGAGCCCAGGGTAATCTTATGTGGAGGAGACGGAATGAAATCATGTACATTGGTGATAGACCCTATCTCCTATGGGTGCTGCCCTTCCTCCAGAAAAGGAATCCTTGAACAGCTGACATCTGTCCTACAGAGAATCGCCCTCGAAATCCGATAACGCCTGACACGAACCTTTTCCCCGAGATATCTCGACTAAACTGCACTGTCTGCTCCCTTCAAAGCATTCTGTGTCCACAAATCGAGCTGAACAATTTGTGCTATCTGCTCATTCCTCATCTTTCTCTCATCGACAGTTTTCATGAGCCGCGTGCTACGGCGAAGGGACGTGTCCATGTTGAGTTCAAGCGATGGCACAACCCTCTTGTCGTTAATTTGGCTGTCAGGAGTCCAGCGAGGCCACAATTCAATCTCATACAAAGTTTCATCATCGTGGCCGGCTTTGTCGAAGACCTTCCGTACATGGGAATAGAGAGTGCCCCTACATTTTATGGGGATTAACTTGACCGGCCTCGCTTCGCATCTCTGCCACCTGGCCTCCACTACGGCTTCCGAGACGCCAAGGCTGCCGGCAGACATCCACCCATTGGGATTCTCCAGGAGATACTCGGTTTCGCCACGGTCATAACAGAACCTCTCTACGTAGGCCTCGTCGTGGTCCCCGGCATCATCAGAAGATAGCCCTATATCCGGAAGGGGTGTCTGCTCCATGGCGTCGCCAATATCATGCTGATCTTCTGGTCTTGGAATTGGACTCGGACTTTCTTCTTCGGCATCCATGGTGGATCGAAGACACGAGGAGGTGCAGGAGGAGGAAACCATCGACGGTTGCAGGATGTGAAAAGGCAGGAATGGGAAAGAGCGAGTTCCTAGGTACAGAGGATGATTCGAGAGGGAGGATTTGACAGATGGTCGGACGGCCGGCCAGGCTGGATTTGGGCTCCGTTTTGAGCTCCATGAGAACGAAACTAGACGGGGAGATCAAACGGAAGGGAGGGGCCTTCAGCGGCAGGGAAAGAAGGACAGAACCATGTACCTAGGGACCCAGACATGGGCCGAATCCACTGCCCGGCGCGCAGACATGACGGCAGGACGAATTGGGACCGTCGCAGAGGAGGGCGACTAGGCGGGTGAGTAGGCGGGTGAGTTTGCGGGTGAGTATGCGGGTGAGTCCGAAATTGTTAAAAGCGGCACGGTCGGGGGTGATCCCCCAAGTGCGGTACGAGCAGATTGTACCGCTTGAGCTGCCAAGCCACCTCCATCCGATGCGGATTCGTCAACAGCAGGGCTCAGCCAGGGGGCAGATGCTGTACCTCATTCTCTGTAAAACTCTTTCTCCTTCATCATACCGGGCCGTTTGTTGCGGAATAGTGTCTAACCCTGTTTCTTGCACCAATTCAGCCCGAGTTCCACCCAAGCCTGGACTGCTGGATCGAGTCAGACGTGTTTCGAGACAGCGCCCTTCAACCGCAATCGACGATACGGTGTCTTTCGGCGTCCACTTCGAGTTCTCCATGAGACAGATCGTTCTCCCTCGGACGCTTCTCCTTACTTGACAAATTCGAAGAAGTTACAGGCACAGAGCCCATATAATTTGACGAACCTCCACCGTTCCGCGGCGTATCCTTTCCCCTACCCTCTCGCTCGCCTTGCCTGGAGATGTCAGCTGAGCATTAGCGCTTTTCTCGGAGTTTCTACTACAATATGGCTGGGCTTTGGGCAGCATGCACTTTGCTGGCTGTGATCTCTTCAGCATGGGCGGATAGAACCGCAGCTGATTACTTTGTCCATTCGCTACCAGGACAGCCAGATGGCCCTCTCCTGAAGATGCACGCCGGGTATGCAATCACTTCCCCTTCCAAAGAGCGGTTATTGACGTATGCAGGCATATTGAGGTTACTCCTGAACATAACGGACACATGTTTTTCTGGCACTATCAGAACCGACACATAGCCGACCGATCACGAACCGTCATTTGGCTCAATGGTGGACCGGGATGCAGCTCAATGGATGGGGCATTGATGGAGTTGGGCCCTTACCGAGTAAGAGAGGGAGGAAAACTGGCTTACAACGAAGGCTCCTGGGACGAGTTCGCCAATCTATTATTTGTGGACAACCCGGTCGGTACTGGCTTCAGCTACGTAAATACGGACAGCTATGTTCACGAACTGCCGGAGATGGCCAACCAATTTGTTACTTTCATGGAAAAGTGGCTCGAGCTATTTCCACAGTATGAAAACGACGATCTCTACATCGCAGGCGAATCCTATGCTGGACAATACATTCCTTACATCACAAGGGCTATTTTGGATCGCAATGCCAAATTGAAGAATCAGGGTAAGCGGGTATGGAACCTCAAAGGCCTCTTGATCGGGAATGGTTGGATTGCTCCAGCAGAACAATACCAGGCCTACCTCCGTTTTGCCTACCAGTCTAATCTAATCCAAGGCGGTACTCCCGAGGCGGATAAAGTTGAGGCTGCGCAAGTAACCTGCATCAACGAACTCGCTAAACCCGGTGGGACGGAAACGGTGGATGTCAGTGCATGCGAGGCTGTTCTTTCTACGATTCTCGACGTGTCCAAGGTGGACGGTATGTGTTACAACATGTACGACATCACTCTCAAGGACAAGTGGCCTTCATGCGGAATGGCCTGGCCTCCAGATTTGGAGACCGTGACGCCTTATCTGCGCCAGGACGATGTTCTTGCGGCTCTGCACGTGAATCCCGACAAACGGACTGGGTGGGTTGAATGTTCGGGGGCTGTTTCATCTTCGTTCCGGGCTAGGAACTCGAAACCGAGTGTTCAACTACTCCCAGGCATTCTTGAGGAGGGCATCCCAGTGCTATTGTTCAGTGGCGCGAACGACCTGATCTGCAATCATCTCGGAACAGAGGATTTCGTCAACAACATGCAGTGGCTAGGAGGCAAAGGATTTGAGCTCGCTCCTGGGGTAATAGCTCCAAAACGCGATTGGGAATTCGAAGGTGAACCAGCTGGGGTGTATCAAGAAGCAAGAAACCTCACCTATGTCAAATTCTACAATTCGAGTCATATGGTGCCCTTCGACTACCCTCGACGGACCCGTGATATGCTTGATCGGTTTATTGGGGTGAATGTCACAGGGATTGGTGGTCAGCCGACCGACAGCTTTATTGATGGTGATAAAGTGGGCACTGAAACAGAGCTTGAAAAGCCAGCGAACAGCACCGTACCCGTCACCGCCGAAGAACAGAGCCAGAAACTCAAAGACGCCGAACTCAAAGCCTACTATCGCAGCGGCGAGGCAGCTCTGGTGTTTGTGCTCATTGCCGCAGGCTTGTTTGGCTGGTGGGTGTGGCGAGGAAGGAGAAAGGCCCGAAGTCAAGGGTATATCAGCGTTCCGCTTGCCAACAGCTCGATGCGAAAAGGCCGCGGAGACGTGGAAGCGGGGGATTTTGATGAGAGTGAGTTGGACGACCTGGAGTCGAGCCGGCGACATGGTAATATGCAATCCCAACGCTATGATCTGGCAAGCGATAGTGAGGATGAAGATACCGTGGTTCAGCATGGTGATGGAAAGGGAGAGCGATCCAGCCCTCGGTGAGACCAAAAAAGGAAATAAAATAGTGGTATTCTTTTTAATGATAGATTTATGTGACTCCTGCAGAGATCTTCGTCCTTTGAGTAGTAGCGATGTGAATCTCGTCAAAAGACCCTCTGGCATCTTGATGCTGATGGTGCCTGGCGATCGCGAGATGGAGGGAGATCGAGGTATGTGTCGATCCCGATATGGTATAGCGTCTGTATCAGCACCAGCTGACTAGTCCGAATTGGGAACCCCGAGTTACACAGCTTCTGGTCACTTCCCTTCCAACTCTTCACTTTCAGTCTTTTCACTTTTCTCACAATTTCCTCCCTTTCACTCTACTCAGTCCTGCGCTACTCAGTTTTGTTTTGCGCCATGTCTGCTACTGTCTTGTATCAAGAAGGCGTCACAAACTTCATGGACCAGGGAGAAAGAAACTCATTCACTTGGACCTCTCCTCCTTGCATCAGTGACAGGGTGTCTATCCGGCTTGTCGGCCTGTCAACTCTGTCAGTTGCCAACCACAAACCAGCTCGCTGTTCTAAACACCAGATGTACACACGCACACCCATCTTCCCTCTACGTCCTCCAATTGGGCACCGTACCTCTTCGCCCCGATGCTGATGTTGGTCCTGGCTCTGATGCCAATGCATATCCCTCGCCTGCACCGATCCCTTGCATTGGGCATCTCTGGCCAAGCCTGTCATCGATATGCAATATGTCGCATTCATTCGTCCCCGGGTCTCTCTGATACGTTCAGCCTGGGAACCTAGACACTTTGGCCGCGATTCTCCTGACCTGTTCGTGCTGTATTTGAATCTTGATCGCGACCATGTTCCTCCGGGCGTCAACTACACTAGACATGTTGAAGGCTGTTACCAACGGACTTAGCGGATGCGCCTTCTTGAGGTTAGAGTCATGGCTGCTTGCGCTGTAGGGAAAAGACGGAAAGAAAGCTTTGTGACTATCGTCGCTTCCATCTGCTGGATATATGCGGTCTCATTCCCTCAAGACACCGTCTTCACTTTTCATTACTCCTCCTTCAGTGCTTCTAACGCCTGCTCAGGCTTCAGATCCGTATCATTTGCACCTTGAACCTACCTCTCCCACTCTCCGCGTCCCTCATTTCTAGCACATCTGCTTCCCTGCCCGCCACTCTTCACTTTCTGCTCACTCCTACTCAGATTGTCCAACGTGGCTCGCAGCTTCTGTCTTTCCTCCACTCCTTAGATCAGTTCCTCAAGCCTCAAAGTCTCTAGATTGCCTGCACACCATCGCCTTCCTGGACGAATGGACCGCAATGGCCGGTTCACGTTACATCAGCTTGCTGCCAGAACCAGCTCTGATTCCTCCCAAACCACCGTCTCATACGATGCCGGTCACATTGTTCTGTCTTTCTTCACGTCTCTCATAGGATGCATCACCACGTTGGAACTGCTGCAAAGGCGCACATCGACGAGAGGAGCGTACAATTGGTAAGTTCACCTTACTCTCACCAAGATGGCTGTTTACTGACCGAGCCCGAGGTTTCTGCTCGTGGCATCCGCAATCACCATGGGTGGCATCGGTATCTGGGGCATGCACTTTGTCGGCAATAGAGCTATCGTGTTACAAAACGGAGACCGCCGCCGCCAGATTCTCTACAACCCCGGCTTCACGGCCATCTCGTTCTTTATGCCAATCATCGTCCTTCTCTTCGCTTTCTACACTCTTGGAATGCCGGCTCGAGCCCGCCCACTTCATGTTGCCATCGCCGCCTGTCTCACAGGAGCCGCGGCTTGCGCCATGCACTATCTCGGTCAATACGGCGTGGAGAACTATGTTTGCTCATATAGGGTGCAGAATGTTGCCGGAGCCGCCATCATCGCCGTACTGGCCAGTTACACCGCCCTTGGGATATTTTTTCGGCTGCGAGACGCATGGAAAGACGGTTGGTGGAAGCGTGCCCTGTGTGGTGTCATTCTTGCCACTGCTGTCTCCGGAATGCATTGGACAGCAGCGGTTGGTACAGATTACCACTGGAAAGGCGATGTGAACATCCATGGAAACTCCAGGTCACAAACTGCAGTCATTGCAGCTTCCCTCGTTAGTTTCCTATCTCGGTTTGTAGAACCCGCAACTAATACTCTTTGCTAGTCAATGGGCTCTTGTGTCATCCTTCTTGTGGTGGCCTTCATTCGAGGTCGCAACAAACTCTCTGCCAGGATCAAAGCACAGCGGCTGGTGTTGGCTTGCGCTTACTTTGACACCGAAGGCAAAATGATGGTCACCCAGGAAGGAACCTTGCCCAGTGAAAAAATAACAAACCACTATATCGAGAAGGTAAGCAACCTCCTATCTCAAGCCTTACTCGCATTGACCCGGCGTTGTAGACTTTTGGTGAAGATGAACTTAGCAGATCTCATCCAACCTACCTCTGGATATTCAAAGCCTCGCATCATTGGATAACCCTACATGGCCTCATTCCCAGCATGAGAGATCATATCGAAAATGACCCAATAGCAAGGAAATACCGGCCCAGCAACACCTCCAAAAACTTGCCAGATGACGCGATGGCAGGTTCCATCAACTTCGCCCCGATATTCAAGCAATTGTTCTGCGTCACTGCCCAGCAGCTGGCCAATCTCGTCCATCAACCGCTGGAGAGGCTCGGGGTCTTATTCGAAGAACCCTTGGACACGGGAACAACCTCTCTGCACACGCAATTGAGTATCAATATCAGGCCGCTATCGGCCAGATCTTATAAAAAGACGGCAGACACTGAGCAAGGGTTTCCGCCGCCACTCAAGGTTGCCCGAGGAAAGTACTTTTTCCTTCAACGACAAGTAAACAAAAGCGAGGCAGCCAGGTTTGCCGCACTGGGATACCGATTTGCCACCATTGCGCAAATCGCAGAACCACTGGCTAAGAGCATGCAAGTCGATTGTGGTGAGATGGTGGCTAAGATTGAGCGGATGAGGCGGAGTACATCAGCCGAGCATCTTCCACCCCCCAGAGTGCATCTCGCTTGTTTTATGCTCCGTCCAAGCATGTACAAAAGCTTCGACGTTCTTGTTCCCACCACCTCGCAAGACCAGTTGCCGTACGTGCCGATACAATGCGGTGATCTATCTGGAGACCAGCTGGCTCAACTACAGCGTTTCGACGATTCCACCATCAGCGAGATTTTGAGGATCCTTCTCAACCAGACTGGTGTGTCACAAATGGAGGAGGGGACGCGCTGGCAGCTTTACAACACCTTCGTTAAGCTCGTCGATGTTATGGGTGATTATGACACTATGATGCAAGCAAAATTCTCTGCCAAAGCATTCCGGGTGCCATGTCGAGCGTCCGACGGCACAAGTCCTTCAGCGACGTGTACCTTCCTCACAGTTCGGGTGATGAGAACTATACACGCATCTTCGAACAAGAAGGAATTGACATATGTCCCTTTATCTTTCTTCAGTGCTCAGCAACAATGTCTTGCGACAGACTGCAGGGATGAATTATTTGAGAGAAAGGTCAAAGCAGAGTTCCAGCATGCTGCCCGCTCAACCTTCATCAAATGTCCCTCGTCCATCAGCCTCCAGCGCGGAAGAACGAGCCCAGGTGGCTCCACCCTTCAAGGAGAAGAGTCACCAGGGCTGGGGTTTCTCAAAAACGCATTGGCTCGGTTGTCAATTGTTCCTAGCCGCCGGAGCGATGAATCTAAGACTAGCGACGCCAACAAGAGCATGGAGGAAGGAACTGATGTTGAGATGGTGGGAATTGCAGTGCTGAGCAGCACTCGCCTCGGCCATGACACGGTAACAACACACGCGGATGTTATCGAACTTAACCAAGTGGGATCCGGGCAGACTAGCTGGGTCGGCGAAGTGTTTGGTCTGTTCCGTCTGGGAGTGGAAGGGTGGCCCAATACGAAAGTGGGAGTATGCAAACGAGGCGGAAATGACGCGCACCCACAAGATTCTGAAGAAAGGATTGCCAATGGAGCATGACCGATACCGAGACACTGGTTCCATCCAGGTGAGAACTCGAAAGCACATGTGCTGAAATGGGCGCGCGGGAAGCACGACAAACGGAAATGCGAGGATAATGTGCTCTGATGTATGTACATTGATACCAAAGTCAATGGAAATATCGCTCTATTTTGCGAGATGCCTTTCTACGAGCTAAGAGGCTACAGCAATGTGATACGCGAAACGATTTCTATGCACTCAACACTTTGGTATCGTTGGTGCTCTAGCCTGTGTGGATAGGATGCTCACAAGGCTGAGAGGAACTCGGATCAGCTGGGGTGCACAAGGAGCAATTTTATTGGCGGAGCGTCGGAAGAAATTCTGCCGTCTGTCGCCGCCTTGAGCAGCAGCCTGCCCTCTTCCTCGTCACTGCATGTGACGGACATTCTGTCTCCCTCTCGTGAGCGATCTAAATACCTGAAACACTATTGTACGTACGCAAGGCTCTTTCGATATCCGGATACTGGCACGGTCCTGAGGCGCACGGAGCAGGAGGGGTAATACTTTTCGAATCGGTAGACAGAACAACCTCATCCTCAGTCACGGCCTGCAGCGCCACTACGGGAAACACCCCTCGATCCGCCCGCTATCTTAGCCACCTACACGTCTACCAATCTGCATTCACGAGTTCTGAAGATCAAGCTCTTGTTGCCTCCATTGACCCGTCTCTTTTTTTTTTTTCCCGCACCCCTACATCCAATATGCCCTTTGCGCAACTCGTGATCGGGCCCCCCGGCGCCGGCAAGTCGACCTACTGCAACGGCATGCAACAGTTCATGGGCGCCATCGGGCGCAAGTGCTCGGTGGTGAACCTCGACCCGGCCAACGACCCGGTGTCGTCGTACGAACCGGCCCTCGACATCCGCGACCTTATCTCGCTCGAGACCATCATGCGCGACGACGACATCGCCCTCGGCCCCAACGGCGGCGTGCTCTACGCGCTCGAGGAGCTCGAGGAGAACTTTGACGGCTGGCTCGTCGACGGCCTCAAGGCCCTGGGCGACGACTACGTCCTCTTCGACTGTCCCGGGCAGGTCGAGCTGTTTACCCACCACGGCAGTCTGAGGAGGATCTTTGCCAGGTTGGAGAAGATTGGGTATCGTGTATGTTTTATTCTTTTCTTTGAGGGGATTTTGGGTTTGGCCTTTTTTTGAATCTATTTGTCTGTCTGTCTTTTCTCCCTAATCCCCTTCTACGTGTTCGAAACCACTTATTTGATGATGATTCCGCTTCTGCTAACGATCCACAAGAGTGATGAAACGTGGGCTGACAAATGTTATTCAATGTTGGTTTTGAACAGTTGGTTGTGGTCAACCTGATTGACTCGTATGCCCTCACGTTACCCTCGCTGTACATTTCCACCCTCCTTCTGTCGCTACGGAGTATGCTCCAGCTCGATTTTACGCACATCAACGTCCTCACCAAGATCGACAATCTCAGCAAATACCCCCCACTACCGTTCAACCTGGATTTTTACACCGAAGTCCAAGACCTGTCGTACCTGCTCCCATACCTCGAGGAAGAGTCACCCATGTTCAAACAAGGCGGCAAGTTCCAAGCGCTGAATGAGGCCATTGTTCAGCTCGTCGAGGAGTACGGGTTGGTCGGCTTCGAGACGCTGGCCGTCGAGGACAAAAAGAGTATGATGAGCTTATTGCACACCATCGACAGAGCGGGTGGCTATGCGTTTGGAGGTGCTGAGGGCGCAAATGACTCTGTTTGGCAGGTCGCTGTCAGGGAGGGACTTGGCAAGCTGGATGTGAGGGATGTCCAAGAACGGTGGATCGATCAAAGGGAGGAATATGACGAGTTGGAGAGGAAGGAGTGGGAGGAGGAGCAGAAGCGGAGGGAAGAGGAGTGGGCCAAGAGCGGAGAGGCGATGATGGGAATGGCTAATGATGGAGATGACGAAGATATGGACTTACCGCCGCTCAAGGATGGTGGTGTGAAAGTCGTCAGGAGCGAGAAGAAGTCTTCATGACATCGATGGCGTGTGGATTGCTAAGAGGGAGCATCGTTCCGATACCACTCTCCGCTTCGGTGGGAACTCTCCGCTCCAATGCAGCCGATCGGCTACGGATATCGCGGTCAGAGCCATGATGAAATCAGGACACACCGCATGTGTCGTGGAAACGTGCCGCCGGGTTGGGTTTCTGGCTCGCTGAAGTATTCCACGCTCTCTGCGGATGTCGTCTGCTTGCGGTGGTGAGCGTTGTGCTGTTAGATACCCAAGCTCTCTTTCATCGAGGAATTTCTGTTGTTCAGCCAGAATCATCCTCAAAGTCCTCATCCTCTTCAAAGTCTACAATGCTTTCGTCTCCGCCAACCGATCCGGCGGCATCAGCCTTGTCCTTTCCCTTCAGCAGGCTCTTCCCGTCCACTCCAGCAAAGATTCCCTCCAGAATCGTATCATCGCCTTCTTCACCTAGACTTCGACCCTGCAGCTTCGCCCGGACAACATCCGTCCTCGCTCTCCGGAGGAGCTCGTCCTCACTCTTTCTGATTGTCCCGCTCACCCTGACCACGCGAATCACACAAGCCAACTCTGGATGTGTCATCGTGTCGGATAACGCACCACCACCACCTCTCCTCCCTCCTGTGGCGCCAGATCGAGCGTGGGGGGCAGGCATGCTCGTCACGAAGGTCATGCTCGCCCAAACCAGGCGGAAATGGGCGCGGGGCACGCGCAGGATCCCCGTCGAGGTCGCAGGCGAGAAGTACACGAGTCGTAGCGCCGACTGCGTCACCGACACGCCGTGGTCGCCGAACAGTGTCTGGATCTGCCCGCGCAGGTGCGTCACCAGGAGAGCGGGGGTGAGGTAGCCCGGCGAAGGGCGGTGGAAGAGGATGTACGCCGGTGTTGGTGATTCTTTTGGCGTCGAGCCTGGTGCTCGCGGTGCTGCGGGTGCATCTGTGGAAGAAGAGGAGGATGAGGACGTGGGAGGAGAAGGATAGAGGATGTGGAAGAGCAGGTAGCGGTGTTTGATCCGGACCATTTTTGGCGTTGGCCTTCTCTTGCACGCGCGGGGGTCTGGGACTTTAACGATTCGCTTGTGTCATTGTCATGGAGGCTTGTGGTGGGAAAGGCGAGCCTGCTTTGGAGAGGGGCATGAAGTTCTTCCAAGAAATTTTGGAGGGCTAATTCACATCATTCTTGTGAGCCTGCGAATTATTCCTTCGAGATGATTGCTATTACGGCATCATCATCTGCTGAGACAAAAAAAGGACTTTTGCCAATTTTTTGGATTGTGGAGAAGGGAGCTCCCAAGCATTGGGCGAGGCTGAAATCGAGCTTCGAATCGGAGATTTAATCTCGCTTGGTGGCTCACTTTGGGCTCAAACCCCGCCGCGCCGCTTTTATGATTCGGGGATTTTATTCTGTAGGCATAATGGCATCCCCTATCCTTATCCCATGATATTTAGCTATAGCTCTATTTGATCTGGCGGCCACTTCATCGCTATTGAGTGACTACATAGATTGAGAGAAGGTGTCAGGTGTCTACTCCATGTCAGACTATGCCTTTTTTTTGCTCCCAGAGACTCGCTTGGAGCTGGGGATGAGTATAGGGCGGCATCACCCTTGGCCTAATCGGGGGTGAGCGATCCCCCTGAACAGACGAGCTTGCAGGACTTGATACATCGTCCATATTACATGCATATCACATACATTCAGCGGGAGGACAAGGTGCTTACGGTTGGTTCACAAGCATCGCCCGACTCTGAGGTCCCCCGGGGAAAAAATAAAGATTATTACGGTAAACCATCCCTTTTCGCCGGCGAAGCTGAGTTTGCCTCGCCTCTCGAAACCTTCAGGCACATGAAACTGGCCCGACTTTCGATTTTGGGGGGGAAGATGCTCAGGAGTTCCGAGTCCCTTTTCTGGTCTTTCTCTGAAACCACTCCGAACAGGCATATTCCGTGGAGAAGAAGGTTCCCTCATGGGGACTTCGTATGCAAGCCACTATGGTCAGCTTCCCACTTCGGTACTTCCATATCACGTCTTCTCAAACGTCGGGGTTGAAGATCTGTGCATGTGGAATCGACCGGCAGATGTGTACCTCGTACAATGAAAGGCATGTGGAGTCCCTCCCCGTCCCCCTTGTCATCCAAGGCTTGGGTCATACCACGGTTAAATTGGCCATGAGCACCAGAGAACCGGCGGACAAGAGCGAGGCGCACGCCATCATGTTCTCCGTAATCATCAGAAGAGAGCAGAGATAGTCGTAGCCAGAAGAACAGAATCCGGCATGTTGGTTCGTCAAGACTCATAAGGCCAGGACCAGGTCTTGTCTCTCTCTGAATCTGACTTTATCTTTTCCCCCTCTTCCCAAGCCATCCAGGAGGAGCCCAGGTACAAGTAGAAAGTATCTCGTACTGCTGAGTTTGCCAGAAGAGCTGTCCGAGTGGTTCATGCAGGAGCAGGTCGTCGTTTCAAGTCACCCCCTCGGCGGCTCTGGAAACCATTTGGCGGCTCTGAGTGGACGTGGACTGCCCAGTTTCATGCTCGTGCAGCCCCTGAGAATGAGAACGGGCACAACGGGGCCAGATAACGCTCGACACGGAAGCAAAGGATTTTTAACTTGTGATTGGGGGGGCAAACTAGACTGTGTGAGGTCTAGGGGTGATGGTGGCGTTGAAGTGGCCACTGAGAGAATGAAGCGGTTGAGCGCCATTGCTTCATCTGGGCGGTACCAGGCGGGGACAAATCAAGATTTTGAGTGGATAACTAGGCACACTGGGGTAGCGTTGAGTACCTAGGGGTGCCAAGAACCTTCCACAAGGACCCTAGAGAGCCCTAGCAAGGCACACAGGGGAGCCATTGGGAGCCTAGGCGATGGCTCTACCATGTTGTGGATGGACCCCGGTCGTCCTGGTCACGTTCTGTTTGGGTTGAACGCCCACGACGCCGCAGCTGCACGCGCTGTGTGCTACTCCATCTTGCTGCATCCTGCACCCTGCATCTCTTCTCTCCCTGCAGCTTCTGCCTTTTTTACTTCGCCCTTGCAGTTCTGTCCCCAACATCCAATCCCGACAGAAAAAGTCTTTCGTTTCCCAAATACCCTTCCCACTCAGTCATTCTTTTGGCCCTCCATCTCGCTCTCTTTCGATCACAAGTCACACTCTTTACTCGACGGTCGATTCGTCGTGGTACCGCACAGTCGAGGCTTATCCATTCCTTCACCAACCCAAGGGTTTGATACGCTGCCTTTTGGTCGCCCTTCGTCTTCACCCACAAGGAGACTTTCACAGAGCGGACTGCGTCCTGCCTTGCGAGTTATCCTTGACTGTCATTCTTTACAAAGCCAACGTTACTATTGAATTTGAGGGCATTCGGGCGGAGAGACTTCCACCGCGGAACCACAAAAACAAATACCAGCAAGCCAAAAAGATAAAACAAATACCACCCCCAGTTTGCTTTTACGTTGGCGAGCGCAAATACCTCGAAGATTTCGTCCCTGCGACCATATCTGAGAGATTTCTATCCCTACAACCGTCTCTCCCCTCAACAACTCAATTCCACAATGTCTATCTCTCGAGCATTCACCAAGCGCGTCAGGCGCAACTTTGTGGACCAAACACCAATGCAACGTGGCACAACAGTTAGATATGCTCCTGGAACCATCGATCGCAACCTCATCTCTCTGCCGACCGAGTTGATCTCTACCACCAATGTGCAGGCGTTGACCGCTCCAGATATCCGGAGCATATCTGGTTCCTCCTCGGGTTCACTTTCGTCAGTCAACGACTCTGATTTCTCGACGATTGACCGCAGTTTCCTCAACAGCACGGGCACTGACAATTCTTCCATCGACAGTAGCGGTCCCGCCACTCCTGTAACACCTGGAAATGAAGACAGCAAGTCATTCTTCGACTTGAAACAGACTACTCCGCTTCTCCCTGCCATCGCTTCACCGACCTTTGACGTCCCTACTGTCCCGCAACGATCACCAACTCATTCCAAGGAAGCGCATGTAGAGTTATCACGGAAGCGATCGATTCAACGAATGTCGCCACCTCCCGTCAACATTTCCCAACCGGCTACGCGGGGTGTCTCCGACCCTGCAGAAACCCGTCACCCCTTTGGTAGAGAACTGGCGCAAGTGAATGAGGTCGCAGAAGAGTTTGGTGCCACCGCAAGATTGCTTGATGAGGAAGAACAAGAAATTCTGGGTAAAGGACTCTGCAAGTTTGGCGTGGAAGAGTATCTCGACGAAATCGCCGGTCTATATGGCGGCATCTTCGAGGACAAGCTCGGGTCAGTGGCAAAGCCATGGCTATGAAGGTTCTCAAAAAATTGGGATCCTTGTACCATTCATGACCTTATGACATTGGCTTTAGTGCCGCACTGGGCACTCTCACTTACACACATGGCGACACGGCGAGATATGGAGTTCACCTTGGGGATGCGATACACTTTGCGGGGCTTTCTGGAACTGGATACCATCGCCAGTTCATTTTTTTCCGAACCACACTCTTTTTTCGAAGAAATCGTTTCTTCTGTCTTCAATGACACTGGGGGAAAGGGAAGGATTGGCAAGACCAGATCACACCGAAGCATAAGGGTGATTTGGCATGTGCCTGATATTTGTTCAAAACCTTGAATGGTAATCTTGATCATACCACAAGATGTTGAAGATGGGCCTGGAGTGTCTCGAGATGATCAGGCAGGCCATACAATCATGTTGACTTGTTTCAGCTGCTGTTGAGAAGGGACGTGGGACACATCTCGAATATGGAGAGAAATTCTGTACAATTTTATCAGTACTGAGATAGGGCTGGTGAATAAGGAGCTATCCGTGAACAGAAAAAAAACAAATCACAAAGTCATCTCTTTCAATTCCCTTGCTGATTTCTCTCGCGCAATCGTACCCATTGCTTGGTGAATGATGGCTCGGTATTACTCCGTCGCTGCACGTTTCATGAGAAATGGCCGTAGAATTCAAAATTTTTGATTTGCTACTGATAATGAATCTCCTGACTAGCAATATCACTACTTTTGCCATATACCGGATGGTGACCTTCTTAGCACAGCCACAAGCCCTCAACAGGAGAATTTTTGGTGTGTGGCTTAAGAAAAAGCAAAGCCAAATCTGCTTTTTCAGCTGGAAAGGTGCGTCAAGCGTCTTTGAGGATCGGTTGGCGGCGCTACCTGGTGGATTCTCTAGGCGGAATCGAGACGTCGGAAGCGAAGATCAGCACCAAGACCCTTGTACCGAGTAGTCAGCTCGGTTGTCTTTATTTCTCCTGAGGCGGCGAGACCATGCACGTCATTTTGCGTGAGCAGAAAGAAAAAGAGGTCAAACTCCGGACCGACGTTTTAACTTGTAACGGGCGGGAGGTCAAAGGGTCTGGGGGATTCGGGGAGCGAGGTATAGGAGGGGTTCGAGTTTGGAGGCTTCTATCCAGTATAAAAGTAGTAAATCTCTGGGAAATCAGGAGGGCGTTTGAGTTCAAGTGAAAAAGAGACGGCCAGACGGATCTCGCCAGATAGCGCATGTGCCAAAGGGATGATGAGTACTAGTTAGGTAACTGGGGAGAAGTCCTTGGGTGTTGGTGCTGCCTGCGCCCTCCTTATACGAGTGCTCGGTATTCGCAGGCACAGGCGAACAGGGGTACGGCCCTGGGCGGGGTCCGGGCATTGGCGAGCCACTCGGCAACGCCCAAGGTCAACCTAGCAACCGGGGCAGCCCACTAGCCTTGTGAAATCCCCCCCAAAGCACCCATTAGGCTCGGTGGCCACGCCCTCCAGCTCAACTGCACGTCAGCGTCATGGCGCTGCTGGTATGCACGACCTTTGCACCTGCCACGCCAACACGCCTGAAGATTTTCCGCCGAATCCAAGGCGCATGCGCATTTGACCACAAGTAAAGATTCTGCAGCCCAACAATCTTCAGATGTACAGTATGAGCATTGCTATACAAACCTCTTGCTCTTCCACCGCGAGGATCCCCCTGGGCACCGCAGTCGTTGCTTGAATCCTTCTCCTTGTTTGCTT